GTTACCTGAGACGAAACGAAACTTGACACAGAGCACCTTTGAGCATTTGTTGATCAGAAAACTAAAGCAAAGTGATTAGACACTCAAATTACTTAAGAATTATACACAGTTTGCATTTGCCCCAGATAAATTACCTTGTTCAGCGATACACTCGGATAATTAGGATTAAAAAGTATGTATTCAGTGCATGTTGGAAAAAGTCTTAAGAAACAAACAAGACTGCTCGTATCAGGGCAAAGTCTCGAACCCCAAATGAATGTTCTGACTGATTTTATAGTCTATGGAAATGTGCTCGCTTAGAAAAATAGATTGATGAAACTTTCGGAAAAAAAATGAACAACGTCAAGATTTTTTTTGGATTTTTTTTACAAAGTATCCCCTCATACGCCATGCAAAGTAGAAAGTGATAGCTTTTGCATGCAGGAAAGTATTAAGCAATCCAAATAGCATGACTCAATTCAATCTGGAACGATTTGTAAGACGAGTAAACTCCCAGACTACGCGTTTATAGCTTGAAAATATCGGGCGTTAATTATCCAAACTCGACCAAACTGGCAACCTTTAAGCCCTCATGATTTCACAAAAAACTATCACAGGTAAATATCTTTTAATTTTAAGCTCAAGACAAGATTACTTTTCAAATGATTTAAAAACATTCTGTCAAAAATGGCTAGTTAAAAAGTCGAAATTGGTTTTTAGAAAAAAACCCACCACGAGCACAAATATTCCGTCGCTTTCTTCAAAAATCAGAAAAGTTAGAAAATACATAACATTTTTTTAAAGTAAAATATATGAAAAATCACAAACCTTGTAGTATTAAAAAATAATGAAACTCAATCAAACAATTTATTTCGACTTCTGTGGACAAAAACAGTTGAGATTTTAAAAAATTTCGAAACTATTTTAGACAAAACTATTAAAAGAATTGAAAAACGAATTGAAAAACAGCCATTAAACTTAAAAGTTTGATTCGTTTTTTTTTATTTACGTGTGTAACCAATTACCAAAAAACTATCAGAGCTCTGACAAATCAAGAAGATTGATCGAAATCTATGGCATAAAACACACGCGTTCAGAATGTTTCCGTCCTATATTTGAACAGTCAGTACAGTATTTTAAAAATCAGTGCCATATTGGAGTCACTATAGCAATATTTGAAATATAGGTAGAATATTTGAAACACTAGTGCAAAATTTTTGCTAGAACAAAAACCAAATCAAATAAGAAATAAAAAATTGCATGTTAGCGTGATCATTTTTTCAAATGCGTGTTTTGTTCTTTTTTTTCAGATGTGTTTCATACCAGATAAGACATAGCTTACATTGCTTCTCGAACTGCGTGTCTCATTTTCTTCAGAAAATTTCTCGCAGCAAAACATAAAACTGTTGCTTATCTACTACTTAACAAGTGTAAAAAGATTTAAATGCCATTTCAGGCATTCAATACGTGTTTTTCAACGATTGAATTTAGTTTTTTTGTTTTTTTTTTGAGTTTTTAAGGATTTTTCAGGGTGAAGATAAAAAGTTAATTGAATATTAGTTTTTTCACTCTTACTTCTGTCCAGCTTAAACTACCTAGGTGACCCTACTTGCTTGAAAACCACTCCCATTTCAGCTCAACTTGGTCTTACTTTAATAAAAATTTTATTGTTTAGTGTCTGAGCTCAACTTTCCACTTCAAAAACAACAAAATAATTAGAAATAAAATATGAGCGTTTTTAAAAAGAAGAATGTTTGAATCCCAGAACGAATTGTGATCGGGATTGCGATGTGTTCATTGCAAAATTATGTGCATATTGCAAAGTAGACGGTTACTTTCCTTAGAATAAAGATTTGGTTTACCGATTAATTGAAATGTTTCAAAGGCATTTTTTCTCGGCGATAATCATCTACAATTTTCGTATCAAGTCCTACACTCTGTTGGGACGCTCGCAAAAAAACAGTAATGCGATTGCGGATGTGAGTTTTTTGCGTGCTGTATTTTAATACGAGTTGCTTTTGTTCCAACCTGTGTTGACAAAAAATCGTATCATACAATTTTCAAATATGAAAAAATGCTTATCATACTCTTTTATACAATTTCATAGAGCAAAAGTAAGTGTATGAAAATAGCAAATAAGCATTTTTTCATACCGTGAAACTTGATAACAAGCAATTCGTCCATACTCTGGAATTAAAATTTAGACTTTTTCATCAATCTTTTCATCCCCAAGTTGTATGAAAATAGCAAATAATCAGTTTTTTCATACTATGAATTTTTATAACAAGCAATTCTTCCATACTCTGGAATTAAAACTTAAGCTTTTTCATTAACCTTTTTATCCTCAAATTGTATGAAAATAACATGATAAGTATTTTTCATACTCTGAAATTGTATGATAAGGATTTTTTCCATTACTATGAAATTGTATGAGAAGCATTTTTTCCATAAATGAAAGTACAAAAAAATTTTGTGTTTCATCCAAAACACTTAACTAAGGAATTTTTGTCATAAGAAAACCCAGAGTGTAACTGACAATTACCACGCAGTTATTGATTTTAGTCATATAAATTAATTTTAATATTTTCACATGGAATTATATACCAAAAAAATTTTTTTGTATATGGCTAGATATTTTTCAGTTTGAAAACTTGGTGATTGAGAAAGAAAAGCCTTTTTTCTTTCCAAATTTATTTTCATCTTAGCAAGTAATTGAATCAAAAATCATATTAATGTTTTCAAAAAAAGACATTTTTTTCTGAATTTTAGATTTGTGGGTGAAAAATTTATCCTGGAATACGTTATAAACACAAAAAGTCATATTTTGCATGCAATTTTTTCAAACGTTTTTTATTTGAGCACAAAAACAAGTTTGCAGCCAAAAAACGGATTAAAAAATTTTTTACGTCAAATTTGTGTTTTTGTTTATGAAAATCTGCGTATCATACAATTTTCATAAATGAAAACTATATGATAAGCATTTTTCCGACCGAAATTAAAATTATGTTACTGATTTTCAAAATGCCCTCTATCTTGGATATAATTATTTAAATCTATTTAAAGTTACCCAGACACGTTTTTTGGTGATTTTTGAAAATTTTATTTTTTCTATGACAAAATGATTATCTTATTATTTTCATTCATGAAAACTGCATGGTAAGCATTTTTTTCCTTCGAAAAATTTAAATCATTTTTCTAATGACCAGAAAGCTTCAAAAGAGGCAAATAGACAAAAAATGTACATTAAAGGTTGTTAAAACACTTTTTCAATTTTGTATAAATTTTGTGTGATATGCATTTTTTCCATAGACTTCATATATGAAATTGTATGACAATATTTTTTTATTGACGTCAACCCGGGAAGTTTTCGGTTGCTGTTTTTATTAGAATTTTTTATAAATGAGATTCTTTTTCCGATAAGTTTATCTTTATCCATTTTAACCTTGAAAAATTTACTTGATAATTTAGGTTATTTTTTCCAGGCAATTTTTGATATTTACGCGACGTTATCAAATACAAATCATTGAGCTCAATACTTCCAATTGGGATCTCATTAACTATTCCCCCCTTTTGCAGAAGGCGGTGTTTCAAATAATTCAATGGTTAAGCATGTGTGAATTTTGTACCTCTAGTATCGAATATCCCAGGAGATTCGTTTTAGGTTCAAATTTCACTTATGGTTAACAATTGAACTATTTCATTTAGGCGCCAAAGGGGGGAAATATTTAAAGAGATCCTCTAATTGTGAATAAAACTTGTTTTTGTTTTTTGTGCAGGTAGTCCGATCAACTGCTGGTGTCCTGGCCACTTTGACAGCCAGTGGGTGGAGTATGCGAACAGTATCTGCTGGGTGCAGAACACTTACTTCCTCCCCTTCAATGAGGCACTGGTGGCTGGCAAGTTGAACCAGAGAGACACTGCTATATCCTACTACCAGTGGATTCCAGTCATTCTCTTCCTCATGAGTGAGCTTAAAACTGTAATATCCTAGGTTATAATTTCACAGAAAGTTATAATCTCAAATAATGTTTTATGATTTTTTTTTCGAAATTTGATGTATCTCAAACCGTAAAATTTCAGGAAGGTTCTATATTAAGAAATTTTTTTCTCCCAATGGATTCAAGTTTTTTGATATTTCAAAACAATTATGTTCAAGTTTTTTTTAATTGAATAGCGTGAGGCCTAAAATGATATTCAATCTTGCAAAAAAAACTTCTCTTAGGTTTCTCATTTTTGCTCCGAAAAGAAGAGTCTGCATTTGATCTATTGATTGATAAATTGTATAGGAAACACTATATCAAATATTACTGCCAATGGATTCGAGTTATAATCATGAGTAAAGTATTTTTTTCTCAAATTTATACTTCGGGTAAATTCTTTCTCCAGATAAAAATCTACTCGATGTTTATATTGTTTATAGTTCAGCCAATCACAAGGATATAGCAAAGGTTGTTCGTTCAGCGCGACTGAAGACAATCTATTTTTCCCCCACATTTTAGACTGAGTTATGTTGTTGGGGGTAAGCTTTTTTCTTGTGTCAGGCGCTTCCTTCTACTTCCCCTATGTTCTGTGGAAGGAGGCTTGTTCAGCTGTGGGACTAGACGTGGACTCTCTTGTGAGTGGACTGACTGCATTCGACTCAGCCATCAACCCAGAAATATGGAACAAAACTCTGGCTCAATCGGCCGGACAGGTTGAGAGGTATGAATGCCCGGGTTGACAAAAAATGCTTATCACGCAGTTTAATACATTTTCATTGACTGAAAAAACTGTATGAACAGCGCAAAATAAGCATTCTTCCATACTATGAAATTTTATAATCAACATTTTTTGCCACACTTAGAATTAAATAACAAACTTTTTGCCATACTTTTAATCACAAAATTTATTGAAAGTAGCGAAAGCAATTTTTGGTACTATGAATTGGTATGACAGGGATTTTTTCCATGCTAAGAAGTTGTTCGGAGAACGATTTTTCCATAAAATAAAAAACAACAATTTTTTGTTCCAAATTTTGTGTTTCATCCGAAAAACACTAGCCAACGATTTTCTGCCATAAGAAAAAAACCAGAGAGTAACTGGCACTTACCAAGCAGATAAACTACACTGCGTTATATTAAACGTGTAAGTTAAGGTTATTATATTGGCAGTTACCACGCAGATAAGCAGCCTTTGGTGACATTAGCCATGTATATTGTTGTTATTTTTTCGCGCAGACTTTTATACCAAAAACGTAACCTTTTGCATGCGGCTAGAAAATTTTCACTTTGAGCTTTTTAGTGATTGAAGAAAGAGGCCTGTTTTCTTAAAATTTTGTGCTTTTTCAACATTTGAAAACCAAAAATCGTTTTAAAAAAACATTTGCAAAAAAAGTTTTGAATTTTTTGATTTAAAAACTCAACAGGGACTACGATACGAAAACAAAAAACCAAATTTTGCATATTTGAGCAGAGAAAAAGTTTGCAATCAAAATAGGATAACAAAATTTTGACTTCAGATTTGTATTTTTTATTAGGAAAAGAGCATATCATACAACTTTCTTATATGATATTGTAAGACAGAAACTTTTCTGTTCTAAACTTTTTGTTGTTGCTTAAGTTGCTCTCATGTATCCAAAACTGGCACTAGTTTGCCTTGTTTACGCTTTCCACAAGCTAAGATACTTTTCGTAAAACACTTTCAATACTATTTCATACAATTTCATGGACTGAACAAATTGTATGAAGAGAGCAAAATAAGCATGTTTCCTTGCCATGAAGCATTATAATTAGCATTTTTTGCCATATTCCAGAATTAATTAACACGTTTTTTGCAAACGTTTTATTGCCAACCTTTTATGCAAAAAAATGGAAGCAATTTTTTGTACTTTGAAATAGTATGATAAGCGTTTTTTCTATGAAATCGTAGTAAAAAAATATTTTTCTATAAAAGATAATAAAAAATTTTTGTGATCCATCCGAAAAACACTAGCCAAACATTTTCTGCCATAAGAACAACCAGAGTGTAAACTGAATCGGGTAATATTAGCAATGTAGGTTAAGGTTAACATTTTTACACAGAGTTAGATACCACAAAGTAATTTTTTTATATGGCTAGAACTGTTTTTTTTTGAAAAGTAGACAAAAATTTCGGTCATAAAAAAATTCTGTGTAAAATTTGTAGTTACCTTGGAGATAAACAGCATTTGGTGACATTAGCCATATATATTACTGTCATCTTTTTTGCGCAGAGTTATGTACCAAAAACATAACTTTTTAATGTGGCTAGAATTTTTCATTTCGAGCATTTCATTGATTGAGAACGGATACCTAATTTTTTACAGATTTATGCTTATTAAGGTTTTGAAAACAAAAAGTGTGTGTTTAAAGGTGCATTTGTGCCTGATTTTCGATTTTTTCAATGAAAATTTAATCTGGACTACATTATAGAAACAAAAAGTCAAATTTTGCATGATATTAGTTTTTCGTAAATTACATATTTGAGCACAAAAGCAGGCTTACAATCGAAAACTGGATAAGAAAATTTTTTACCTCATATTTGTAGTTTTTCTATGGAAAAAAGCATATCGTAAAACTTCCTTAAATGGTGATTAAGTTGATATCATGTATCCAAACCGGCCACTAATTTGCTTTGTCTCCGTCTTAAAACAATTAGGATAAATCAAAAAATGCTTGTCATATGATTTCATACAAATTTTTGGACTGAAAAAAAATGCATGAAGAGAGAGAATATGTATAATTTCCTGCCTGTGAAGTTTTCTAAATTAGTATTTTTTCTACATTCTAGAATTAAATAACAAGCTTTTTGCCATACTTTTTAACACAAAATTTTTATGAAAAAAGCAAAGCAGCTTTTGGTACTATGAATTGGTATGACAAGCATTATTTCCATACTATGAATGTGAATGATAAACTTTTTTTCCTTTCAAAAATTCAAAATTTTTTCGTTCCAAAGTTTGTGTTTCATCCGGAAAACACTAGCCACCGATTTTCTGCCATAAGAAAACCCAGAGTGTAACTGGAACTTACCGAGCAGATAAACTGCATTAGGTTATACTAGCCATGTAGGTTAAGGCTAACGTATACTACAAAGGTAAATTTTTGTATATGGCTGAAAATTTTTTTCTTTTGGAAAAGTTTGGTGGTTGAAAAAAGTGGCCTATTTTTTTGTTACAAATCTCTGTGATATTTTAGCATATGAAAACACAAAATAGATAGTAAAAATCACTTGCTTGTAAGTTGTTGATTTTTTTGGTGAAAAACTCAACCTGGACTACGTTATAGACTGTAATGGAAATAGACAGAAGCAAATTGCAATCAAAAAAGGGAAAAAATTAACCTCATATTTGCACTTTTTAAATGAAAAAATGCATAACATACAAATTTCATATATGAAATTGTATGATACGATTTTTTTTGGCTCAATTTTTTTGTTGCCAAAGTTGCGTGCTTGTAATCAAAACTGCCACCAGTCTGCATTGTTTCAATCTTCAACCAAATTAAGATAACTTTCAAAAATAAATAAAAAAAATTGCATGACAAGCACTTTTTCCATAGTTTCCATATATGAAATTGCATGTTAAGCATTTTTCTTATATGGACATCAACCCGTGCGTTTTTGATTATTACCTCCACTTGAGCCGACAAATATAGGTTTGAATAATATAAAGATAGTAGTTCATTGTGCAAACAACGAAGAATTTTCAAAGCTATTTTGACAACAGTTGCCTCAATCCAATCTTGCATTATTGAGCTAACTATTGCTAAAATATTGCATGATTGAGCTAACTATTGCTAAAATAGTTTTGAAAATCAGCTTTCCTTGAGGTTAATAAAATCGAACCAAAAACACTAACAGAAAAAATAAAGAGCCGGTCCGAAAGCCGGTTTCAGTACGCACCAGTCCAATAAAAATATGTTGCAGAACGCAATCACAACATTTTTACTTGAAAGATTGGATCAAAAAATTGAGAAGCAAACTTTAGATAAATTTTTGCATTCTTGCTAAGCTTATAAGCAGAGGTTAAGTGAAAAATTGACTATTCGAAAAACAACAAAAAATAACTAGAAAGCTTTAATTAAATTGTATGAATGTGCACAATAATAAAGCCTAAGTATGCAAAATTGATAACAGTAAATATTATGGGATTGATGTTGAAAAATTAAAACCACTACTTTATCAAGTTTTCTTTTTCCGACTGTATTTTAGCACGTCAAGGTTAATGCAAACATCAGAATTCCTGGCAGCCTTAAGAAGCAGCTTTCGTTTTTCTGCTGCTGTTTGAGCTCAAAAAAAATTACGATAGAACATCAGTGGGTTCACAAGGCTCTAAGATGATGTTTTTGACTTGAAACTTCTAGTATATTCCAGTAAAATGTTAAAAAAAAAGAAATTATTTTATTTTACTATTTAATTTTATAACGTTGAAATTGTTCTTGAAATACTCAACTGTAAAATGAAAACAGAGACAAAGCAGAGCTTCACAAAACTTGGAAAACACAAACAAAGATAGAAAATCAGGCCATATCAACTGAGTTTGAAAAAAAATTGTAAAAGTTGAAAAGAAAAAAGTTGAAAAAAATTGTAGATACCAAATGCTTCACGCTTTTTTCTAGGTTTGTGTAGAAAGACAAATTCACTTATCAAAAAAAAAACTTTTTCAATGATCATCAAACGTCAAAACACGTAGTGCCGATGCCGAAACGTCATAACTTGATGCCGTTCTCGCAAGTATTTGCAAAGCGAAGCTTCGCCTTTGTGTAAAAGTTAGGCTGCATATCCAGAGGCAGGGTTAAAAATAAAATTTTACTAAAATGTGAGAAAATAACAAAACTTGAATTTCGGTGTTCAGTGGAAGTTTCAACATTAGCAAATGACCAAACGTTTAATTGGTTTTACTTTTTTCTGGTCTTGAGTAAAAACATTAATTTAACCATTTTCGGATCTTGATGTTGTTCAAATCGTTAATTGTAATGAGCACGCAGATAGAAAATTAAGAGAAATTGAGCCAAAAAACTGTTTAAAATTTTTTGATGTTAAGGTTGCTTGTTTTTGATTCAGCCAGTCAACTCTGTTAGAATAAATTTGTTAGATTCAATCAGCTCATTGAATAATCAGCCAGAAAGTGCATGGAAAAAGTGCATTTTTTCACTGTTTTATACGGATCGCGACAATAGTTGAAAGAATGATTTAGCAGAGTCAAAACACGATCGCAACTGATTTGACATAGACATGGGCGCTAGCGCACAAAAATTTGTCCAACATAAGTGCTATGCGCAAAAATTGAAGCAGTCAGTTTTCCAAAATAATTGCTGGTTGGAACAATCAAGTTGGAGCGAAAAAAAACATCTAAGCGACGAGTAAAGTTATAACATAATAAAGACCAACAAAACAACCTTGTACCGGTTGCACTTGCTCAGTTCATATAATTGTATCCGGTTTACGGGCTAGATGACAGAAAATTTATGAACGAAACGTAATTGATACTTAAAAAATAAGTTTTCTCTAGTTCAGTTTGAATTTTTGCTGTGGAAGTAACACAGGAAGTTTCGACTACAATTAATTTTAGCTTAAAAATTACAAAAATGTTTTTTTTTTATTTAACCAGCCAGACTCCTGACCCGATGGTTAATTATTTAAGGTTAACCGAGCTATGGCATTCATACAAATGCTCACCTTGTAAATTGCAGCGCACGTGCGATTTAAGCCCGCAATCATAAGACTGCTGGGCACCATCATTACCGAAGCGAAACGAACGCCACAAGAAGTTTTCGTAAGAAACTTTTTTCAGCGCTAACATTTGCGCGCTGACGGGATGCAAGCTAATAAAGGTCTCAAAAACCGGTTCATTATTGCAATTATGTACCGGTTAAAAATAAGAAAATTTTCTTTTCTTCAACGCATTTTAAAATTTTCAAGTAGCATGGTATCAAAAGTTAGTTAAAAATAAAAAAACAATTATGTTTTCTTGATCAAGTTTTAACCTTTTTAAGCAGCATGGTATCAAAAATTAATCAAATATAAGAAAATTTTGTTTTCTTCATAACCTATTTAAGTAGCCAACGGCGTGGAAAAAATTGAAACCTTCCAATATTTACCGGATAATGACAAGAAAAAATCTTTTCATGGTTGACAATAATTTGAATACTGATTTCTCTTGCCAAAACACACTTGAGTGGAATTCAGTGGTTTTAACGACAAAGTTTTGAAAACTGAAAGCCTGTGAATGTGTGCAACCCCATTTTTACGAAAATATTTATTTCAAAAGTAAGACGAAATAAAAATTACAGAAATTTTTTTCTATAATTTTTTCAAATTATACAAACTTGTGTAAATTTGATTTCGTTTTTCTTTTAAAAATATTATTTTCGGGAAACTGGGGTTGCACACCTTCACCGGCTCTTTTTTCAAAAATGTTGTCGTTACATGCACTGATTTGTATTCGAGTATGTTTCGGCAAAAGCAATCATTAGAACAAACTATTGTCAAAACATACAATTTCTTTTTTTCGTCATTATCCGGTAAATTTTGGTTCCAAAAAATTCCAAAAATTTTGGTTCTAAAAAAATTCCAGGTTCCAAAAAATCCCAGACTGTCGAGAAAATTTTTGAAACCAAGCTACTTAAAAAACTAAAATATGACAAAAAAAAATATAATTTTCTGACGTTTAATAAATTTTTCATACCAGGCTACTTAAAAGGGTTAAAATGTGATGAAGAAAACATAACTTTTTTTAGGTTTAACCGTTACATAATAACAATAATGTACCGGTTTTTGAAATCTCTGTTAGCGCACATCTGGTCAGCGCGCAACTGTCAGTGCAGGAAACACTTTTAAGCATTTTGTTCCATTTTAAATTAAAACTGTAGTGGAAAGTTCTTGTATTACTTGCACAGCAGCAATTTACACTGGATATAGAGAAAACTTAATTTTTAAGTATCTATCACGTTTCGTTCATAAATTTTGTGTCATCTAGCTCGCAAATTTGATGTACTTATACAAATTGAGCAGATGAAACCGGTAAATGTTGTTTTGTAGGTCTTTAATATGTAATAACTCTACATGTCGTTAGATGGTTTTATTGTTCCAACTTTCAAAGAAAGGGAAGATCATATAAGCTTGGAGTGGTTTTTTTAATCAGATCAATTTCAAAAAACTGTTTGCTTAATTTGGGTCTTGATTCCTTGGCCTACGTGGGCTGATCGTTTCGCGCGCACCACTATATTATCGTGACTGGTCGGTTAATTTGAAATAGTCTTGCGAACGTGCTTTTCATACTTTGATGCTGAAAGAGTAGAAGTAAATTTTACTCAAGTTATCCTCAGCTAGAAAATTGAATTAATGAATTGAGGCAGGCTTGTTGGTCTCGTCAACTTCATATACAACTTAAGTTTTACAATTAAAATTTGATTATTATCAGCCTTAAGCCAGTTAAAAGTCAGTCGGAACATTCAGAGTGTTTCCCTGATACGAGCAGCCTTGTTTGTTTGTAATTGTATTAGTATTGCTCCTCATTGAGAAAACTTTTCATGGTGCAAACCAGTTATTCATTCAATAGTTATACTTTTCACATGCAGCTTTTACAGTATCAGCAATTGTTGATTTCAAACAATGGTCGAAATCATTGGTTTTTAACGCAAGCTTTTGATTCCATATATAAGAAACTGATCCGATCCTTCCATTGTAGCTCTAACACAAGTGATATCAGAGAACTTAAGAATGAATCTGGTTTTGTTTAACCTTACAGTTTATTTTAATGAATAAGCAACTTCCAACTTTTTTGAAGCTGCCTTTTCCGACAAGAGGGGGAAAACGGTCCAAGACAACGTATTGAACAACCCCAAAAAGCTGGTAAATGATTAAACGTTTTTCTCCTTTCTCTACTGGTACCCAGCGCTGAAAATTCTGGTCAAAATGATTTTTCTTAGTGTTACATGGAATTTTTAAAAATAGAGTTTTTTCAATAGTTTTTCCAGAGTTTTTCCAGAGGGTAGAGAAACCCTCCGTTTTAAAAATTTTAATTCAAAAAATGTTATATTTAGTAATAATTTGTCGATTTTTTGAAACTTTGAGCAAAGAAAGAATTTCACGACACAGTCTCGTACTGCAGTATTTTGATCTGTAGGCGCTAGGTATTCCACTGCGTTCTCTACCACGAAATCTAACTCAAGTAACAGGTCTCAAAGCAAAGCGATTAAATCGTGCTTTGACAAGTCTCGGCTTCACTTCGACAAGTTTTATCTTGACAATTTTTAACCGCATCTTTAATATAATTGGTTGAAAAACTGCACCAAGTTTTTGTCATAGTTTTTGACTCAATTAATATCAATCAGATTTGTTGACACAAAAAATTACGGTCATTAATTTGGCGTTCACTATAAATCTTTTATCAGTAATAGTAAATAAGTGAAAAACAGTCAAGTAGGCCAGAAATAATTAAAAATTGAACATTTTTTTTGGATTTTTAGATACATAGAGAGCCAGCGAGAGATCAGGTCTGGATATATCATCGCCGCACGCAAGGTTAGTGAAGATTGAAATCGTAGTACAGTACTGATTTAAACTATCCGGACAAAACATATGAAACTATAAATTTAGAACAAAAATTCTCAAATTGGGCTGACTTTATGTAAAAATCACGAAGACAAAATTTGTTAAGATTTTCAACAATAATAATATGTTGCCAATCATTTTTTGAAACTCGAACCCAAATTTTACTACAAAAATGAATCATTTTGGATTATTTTTAGTCAATCAAAAATTACGCCAAATTTGCGTGGTCGATTACAGACATAATTAAATCAAAATTAGCTTCTTACATAGCCCAACAGACATTATGTAAGTTATTTTCTCTAAAAATTGGCCCTAATTGTTTTAAAATGGTTTTTAAATAGAAAATTAGTATTTATAGTAAAAATGACTTTTTTTTCTATCAAATAAAAATAAAGCATTTTAAACAATGTTTGCTGGGCCACATAAGGGGCTCACTTTGATATAATTATGTCCGTGATCGACCTAGATGTTTTGGCGTAACTTTTGACTGACTAAAAAAACCATCCACTTTTGGGTTAGAATTTTATGCCCGAACTTCAAAAAACGAATGGTAAGTTTGTCTTCATAAGTTTGTCTTCATGATTTTTACCTTATGTTAAACAAAATAGAAAAACGCTTTTTAAATTTCTTGTTAAATTCGTTTTATCCTGATAATCTAAATCAGCACTAGTAAAACACTATGAAAATTGTTCACAAAAACCGATCGCTCTCTGCATAGGGCTATTCTCAAGACCGAAGGCGTGGAACTTCTCAACCAAGCAATGCTCTTTAAACTGCTTTGAGCTGGTTGACTTTATCGTTTGTTTCTCTAATTATATCAATAATGACTGACTGAATTCTAATTGACTAGAAAAATTTCCTGCCAGCTCGGGTTTTTTGCACACCAGGTATACATACCCCTTCCTGCAATTCAACTTCGCTTAAACGATCGACGGCTGACTGATTTTCACGCTTGTTTTACTTCGAACCTTTAGACACTTAATTCTGATTAGCAAATATAAATTTCGGTTATTCGATTTTTTTTTATAAGGAATGATCCTTCTCGATCTGGTCAGAACCATGCAAAGTTGAAATTGAGAAGTGAGTCTTAATTTTAAGTGATAAGATAATCGAATAACATGAATGCTTGTTGTAATTGAGCAAAAGAGTTGCAAAAATTAACAAACAAAATCTTTTTAATTTTTATAGGCAAATTGAGTTTTCAAACCTGTTTTTTTTCATTTCAGGTAGATATGTTGTAATAAAATACGACTCTAGTTTTGGGAACTATAAAAAAGGCAGTTAGTGGAAATATGAAATGTATTTTTTAAAGTTGTCTATTACAGTAATCTCTTACAACAAGAGAAAGTTGAAAAGTGACATCAAAAAACTTCTTAGAAAGTTTAAAGTTCTGTTTAATCTTACATTTTTGTGATATGATACGGATTGGGGTAAATGAAAAAGCAATCACCATCCAAATTGTTCAAAACTATCAGAACATTTTTTCTGATTTCAGGCACTGATCTTGCCCTTACTTTCGAAGCCTGATGTAATGGTATTTGCAACAGCGTTGAAAGCAAAATCCATGTTTTGCTTCAACGCTGTTTTTCACATAGCGTTTTTTAAGGCTCTGGTTTTGTGTAACAAGAGACACAGTGGCTACTTGACTACTTTCTACCTGTGTCTGAAAGCAGTCTACGTGGTGAACATATTCTTCCACATTCTCTTCCTCAACTGGCTACTCGGATACGACTTCAACTACTACGGATGGCAGGCAAGCAGAACTTATATTATTCCGACCAAGATTATAAAAGTTTGATAAGGCCGCATAAGTATTAACACGCAATATTAGTTTAAACTTTAAAGAGAACAATTTATTTAGATTGATTTGAAGTATATTCACTTTGAAGTTTAGAAATGTAAGGCATGTTTAAGAAAATTTGAAGATCAATGAAACTGTTGCAAAAACTGAAACCTATTCATTATGCCCTTCTATCTTCAGGTGTTGAATTCGCGAGTGAGTGCGAGCGGGTACGAGGATGCGTACAGATCCAACGGACTGTGGGGTCCCGATTTTGAACAGACCTTCGGGTTCCCCCATGTCTCCCTCTGCGACTTCCGAGTCAGGGTACTTGGTTAGTATATTGCAAAAAACTCGGACATACAGAAACAAGGATAGCAGTTAACTGTGCAAGTAGCACAGATAGTTCCGACCATAGTCTTAAAAAATACGAAAAAACGAGTTTTTTTTCATTTTTTTCGTGGTTTGATAAAAGGATCTGAACGATAAACAAGAACTTAGGCATTTTTAACAGTCATAATAAAACAGGCAAATTGAAAAAAACGGACAAAAATGGTAAAACATTTTTTAAGAAAGTTTTCAAAAAATTTTTTTTAAAATTTTTCAAATTTTGTTTCTGAAAATTTGATCTTTTAAAATCCAACAGGGCTCTAAAAATTCCAAAACTTAAATCTACTCGAAAAAAAAAATTTAAGGCTTAAATTAAGCTTAAATAAGTTTATGTAAGCCTACTCACTCGCTCGAAATTAGATGAAAAATCCATGGCTGAAAAAAATTTAATATGATATATCACTCAACCCAGTCCGATGATTAATTTTGGTATCTGACTTTGCGTGGAAAACAAAAAGAAAAAACTAAATACACCCGATTACGAAGTTTTCCCCCATTTTCAATGGTCGGAACATTTATCTTATAAATCATAAACGATTCTTTCATCATTAAAATAGCCATGTGCAGCTTTCTACAGAGAACTGATTTTGCACGCCCGGCTAAGAGCTTTATTGAAACTTTTGTAGGTTTTATTGACGTCGGGACGTTGCCTCAACCTCAAACAACGAGCTCCACTGATTATGGTGTAACTCAAACCAGTGATTTTTTGACTGAGAGCTGGAACTTCAGTCATTTCAAAATTGCACATCTTTTTAGCAGACTCATAAACAGCTATTATCTTATTTCTTAAACATTTCGCTGAAGTTTTAGAAGACCTTTATGACTTAAATTGGACTGATTTTTTTTGCAAAAATTGTAACTTGCTTTTTTCTGTGTAATCTGTTTTGGAAAATTTTTATAGTTTTTCAGTCATAGCACGATGCAATGTGATACAAGAACAAAGTTAGTAGCTAATGGGCGGGCGTTGTAGAATTGATCTTTTTATTCATATGACCTTCAAAAAAATGGCCCCTTCCGCAAAAAAATTAGCTTTTTAAAACTAATTTACAATTTAATCGGTTTTTAAGTGAAAAAGACCAATAAAAATGTGTGGTGTCTTACCCTTCTATTAACCAGCGATTTAATGCTTTAAATTGTCAGATGTAGATGATAAATTTAGTTGTAGATCTAAAAGTCCATAATTACGTCGCATCGAAAAATTGTACAAACTAAAAACAAAACTGCGGTTAATTTACTTTTGGACAGCAAAGCGTCAAAAAAAACTTCTCCTTTCATCACGTTGAATCTGGCCAGTTTTAGTTCAATCTTCAACGAACATTTTTTTGACCTATAAATTATTCAAAACATTTCTAAAAAATCTCCTTAAATGCTTAAATTTTTTAAAACTAAATGTATAAGTGATGCGACGTTATAATTCTTATTTATGAATATCGCTCGAACCTAACGCAAACATTGTGAACATAAAAAAACGATTTTTCTTTAAAGATTTGAAAATTAATGCCTTAGATGATAAAAATGCATAACTTATCTGTCAAAGTGACAAAAAGCAAAGTTTTTTTGTCAACAAATTTGTAATCTGAAGTTTTATCAACAGTTTTGTCTCATTCTGTTGTATTTTCTTACATATTTGAATATGAAAAATTTTAGGCTCTGAGCGTTGAGCAGGAAAATCAAAGGCATTAAAATGTAGTCGACTGCTGATCTTTTTATATTTGGTTTAAATTTTCAAAGATTTGAATAGACAAGCAAATTGGTCAGTTTTATGGTCTCGAGGCTGGATTTTAAAATAAACAAGACTGCTCGTATCAGAGCAAAGCCCTGAATTTTCCGACCGCCCATTAATTAGTCTCGAATAGTTTTTGGTAAATGAAATGTTGACAAACTATGAACTTTAGACTGATAACACCTAAGTGTTAAACTTTGATTCGTTTATGAAATTAATAAGACCAAATAGCTTGCCTCAATTCAGTTCTTACGTTTATGAGTGCGTATAAAATGCCGCGCATAAATATTTCGCCTATTGAAACAAATTTTCAAAGTATTCTTCCAGCGGCAGAGCCGCATTTAGTCTAGCGCAAGCATACTCGCTGGGCAATCTGAAGAGTTTCAGATCGATGTCCATACGCAGTCCATTTTACTAAAATGGGTATGAATAAAAAAAACCATCACGGGCATATATATATATATTCCTCACTTTCTTCGAAGATCGGAACAATAAACTTATCCTGTACAAGTCGCACAAAACATTATGACGATTATTTATGACAAGACAGTGCCATTATGATAGCTTTGACTTAAGCAAATGTTTCTTGTCTCAACGTTTTTTGAATGCTTTATTGGAGGTAGTTTTGTAGTTTTTCAGAGAAAGAAACCGCGGCTAAGCTTTCAGAATCCGCTGCTTTACTAACAGTCTCTATTTATACTTTCAAAATAAACTTCATAGTGACACTTAGCAAAATAACTATTCAAACTAAATTAATCTGACTTTTAAGCATTTTGTTCCATTTTAAATTAAAACTGTAGTGGAAAGTTCTTGTATTACTTGCACAGCAGCAATTTACACTGGATATAGAGAAAACTTAATTTTTAAGTATCTATCATGTTTCGTTCATAATTTTTGTGTCATCTAGCTCGCAAATTTGATGTACTTATACAAATTGAGCAGATGAAACCGGTAAATGTTGTTTTGTAGGTCTTTAATATGTAATAACTCTACATGTCGTTAGATGGTTTTATTGTTCCAACTTTCAAAGAAAGGGAAGATCATATAAGCTTGGAGTGGTTTTTTTAATCAGATCAATTTCAAAAAACTGTTTGCTTAATTTGGGTCTTGATTCCTTGGCCTACGTGGGCTGATCGTTTCGCGCGCACCACTATATTATCGTGACTGGTCGGTTAATTTGAAATAGTCTTGCGAACGTGCTTTTCATACTTTGATGCTGAAAGAGTAGAAGTAAATTTTACTCAAGTTATCCTCAGCTAGAAAATTGAATTAATGAATTGAGGCAGGCTTGTTGGTCTCGTCAACTTCATATACAACTTAAGTTTTACAATTAAAATTTGATTATTATCAGCCTTAAGCCAGTTAAAAGTCAGTCGGAACATTCAGAGTGTTTCCCTGATACGAGCAGCCTTGTTTGTTTGTAATTGTATTAGTATTGCTCCTCATTGAGAAAACTTTTCATGGTGCAAACCAGTTATTCATTCAGTAGTTATACTTTTCACATGCAATTTGTACAGTATCATCAACTGTTGATTTCAAACAATGGTCGAAAACATTGGTTTTTAACGCAAGCTTTTGATTCCATATATAAGAAATTGATCCCATCCTTCCATTGTAGCTCTAATACAAGTGATATCAGAGAACTTAAGAATGAATCTGGTTTTGCTTAACCTTACAATTTATTTTTATGAATGAGCAACTTCCAACTTTTTTGAAGCTGCATTTTCCAACAAGAGGGAAAAACGGGCCAAGACAACGTATTGAACAACCCCAAAAAGCTGGTAAATGATTAAACGTTTTTCTCCTTTCTCTACTGGTACCCAGCGCTGAAAATTCTGGTCAAAATGATTTTTCTTAGTGTTACATGGAATTTTTAAAAATAGAGTTTTTTCAATAGTTTTTCCAGAGTTTTTCCAGAGGGTAGAGAAACCCTCCGTTTTAAAAATTTTAATTCAAAAAATGTTATATTTAGTAATAATTTGTCGATTTTTTGAAACTTTGAGCAAAGAAAGAATTTCACGACACAGTCTCGTACTGCAGTATTTTGATCTGTAGGCGCTAGGTATTCCACTGCGTTCTCTACCACGAAATCTAACTCAAGTAACAGGTCTCCAAGCAAAGCGATTAAATCGTGTTTTGACAAGTCTCGGCTTCACTTCGACAAGTTTTATCTTGACAATTTTTAACCGCATCTTTAATATAATTGGTTGAAAAACTGCACCAAGTTTTTGTCATAGTTTTTGACTCAATTAATATCAATCAGATTTGTTGACACAAAAAATTACGGTCATTAATTTGGCGTTCACTATAAATCTTTTATCAGTAATAGTAAATAAGTGAAAAACAGTCAAGTAGGCCAGAAATAATTAAAAATTGAACATTTTTTTTGGATTTTTAGATACATAGAGAGCCAGCGAGAGATCAGGTCTGGATATATCATCGCCGCACGCAAGGTTAGTGAAGATTGAAATCGTAGTACAGTACTGATTTAAACTATCCGGACAAAACATATGAAACTATAAATTTAGAACAAAAATTCTCAAATTGGGCTGACTTTATGTAAAAATCACGAAGACAAAATTTGTTAAGATTTTCAACAATAATAATATGTTGCCAATCATTTTTTGAAACTCGAACCCAAATTTTACTACAAAAATGAATCATTTTGGATTATTTTTAGTCAATCAAAAATTACGCCAAATTTGCGTGGTCGATTACAGACATAATTAAATCAAAATTAGCTTCTTACATAGCCCAACAGACATTATGTAAGTTATTTTCTCTAAAAATTGGCCCTAATTGTTTTAAAATGGTTTTTAAATAGAAAATTAGTATTTATAGTAAAAATGACTTTTTTTTCTATCAAATAAAAATAAAGCATTTTAAACAATGTTTGCTGGGCCACATAAGGGGCTCACTTTGATATAATTATGTCCGTGATCGACCTAGATGTTTTGGCGTAACTTTTGACTGACTAAAAAAACCATCCACTTTTGGGTTAGAATTTTATGCCCGAATTTCAAAAAACGAATGGTAAGTTTGTCTTCATAAGTTTGTCTTCATGATTTTTACCTTATGTTAAACAAAATAGAAAAACGCTTTTTAAATTTCTTGTTAAATTCGTTTTATCCTGATAATCTAAATCAGCACTAGTAAAACACTATGAAAATTGTTCACAAAAACCGATCGCTCTCTGCATAGGGCTATTCTCAAGACCGAAGGCGTGGAACTTCTCAACCAAGCAATGCTCTTTAAACTGCTTTGAGCTGGTTGACTTTATCGTTTGTTTCTCTAATTATATCAATAATGACTGACTGAATTCTAATTGACTAGAAAAATTTCCTGCCAGCTCGGGTTTTTTGCACACCAGTATACATACCCCTTCCTGCAATTCAACTTCGCTTAAACGATCGACGGCTGACTGATTTTCACGCTTGTTTTACTTCGAACCTTTAGACACTTAATTCTGATTAGCAAATATAAATTTCGGTTATTCGATTTTTTTTTATAAGGAATGATCCTTCTCGATCTGGTCAGAACCATGCAAAGTTGAAATTGAGAAGTGAGTCTTAATTTTAAGTGATAAGATAATCGAATAACATGAATGCTTGTTGTAATTGAGCAAAAGAGTTGCAAAAATTAACAAACAAAATCTTTTTAATTTTTATAGGCAAATTGAGTTTTCAAACCTGTTTTTTTTCATTTCAGGTAGATATGTTGTAATAAAATACGACTCTAGTTTTGGGAACTATAAAAAAGGCAGTTAGTGGAAATATGAAATGTATTTTTTAAAGTTGTCTATTACAGTAATCTCTTACAACAAGAGAAAGTTGAAAAGTGACATCAAAAAACTTCTTAGAAAGTTTAAAGTTCTGTTTAATCTTACATTTTTGTGATATGATACGGATTGGGGTAAATGAAAAAGCAATCACCATCCAAATTGTTCAAAACTATCAGAACATTTTTTCTGATTTCAGGCACTGATCTTGCCCTTACTTTCGAAGCCTGATGTAATGGTATTTGCAACAGCGTTGAAAGCAAAATCCATGTTTTGCTTCAACGCTGTTTTTCACATAGCGTTTTTTAAGGCTCTGGTTTTGTGTAACAAGAGACACAGTGGCTACTTGACTACTTTCTACCTGTGTCTGAAAGCAGTCTACGTGGTGAACATATTCTTCCACATTCTCTTCCTCAACTGGCTACTCGGATACGACTTCAACTACTACGGTTGGCAGGCAAGCAGAACTTATATTATTCCGACCAAGATTATAAAAGTTTGATAAGGCCGCATAAGTATTAACACGCAATATTAGTTTAAACTTTAAAGAGAACAATTTATTTAGATTGATTTGAAGTATACTCACTTTGAAGTTTAGAAATGTAAGGCATGTTTAAGAAAATTTGAAGATCAATGAAACTGTTGCAAAAACTGAAACCTATTCATTATGCCCTTCTATCTTCAGGTGTTGAATTCGCGAGTGAGTGCGAGCGGGTACGAGGATGCGTACAGATCCAACGGACTGTGGGGTCCCGATTTTGAACAGACCTTCGGGTTCCCCCATGTCTCCCTCTGCGACTTCCGAGTCAGGGTACTTGGTTAGTATATTGCAAAAAACTCGGACATACAGAAACAAGGATAGCAGTTAACTGTGCAAGTAGCACAGATAGTTCCGACCATAGTCTTAAAAAATACGAAAAAACGAGTTTTTTTTCATTTTTTTCGTGGTTTGATAAAAGGATCTGAACGATAAACAAGAACTTAGGCATTTTTAACAGTCATAATAAAACAGGCAAATTGAAAAAAACGGACAAAAATGGTAAAACATTTTTTAAGAAAGTTTTCAAAAAATTTTTTTTTTAATTTTTCAAATTTTGTTTCTGAAAATTTGATCTTTTAAAATCCAACAGGGCTCTAAAAATTCCAAAACTTAAATCTACTCAAAAAAACAAAATTTAAGGCTTAAATTAAGCTTAAATAAGTTTATGTAAGCCTACTCACTCGCTCGAAATTAGATGAAAAATCCATGGCTGAAAAAAATTTAATATGATATATCACTCAACCCAGTCCGATGATTAATTTTGGTATCTGACTTTGCGTGGAAAACAAAAAGAAAAAACTAAATACACCCGATTACGAAGTTTTTCCCCATTTTCAATGGTCGGAACATTTATCTTATAAATCATAAACGATTCTTTCATCATTAAAATAGCCATGTGCAGCTTTCTACAGAGAACTGATTTTGCACGCCCGGCTAAGAGCTTTATTGAAACTTTTGTAGGTTTTATTGACGTCGGGACGTTGCCTCAACCTCAAACAACGAGCTCCACTGATTATGGTGTAACTCAAACCAGTGATTTTTTGACTGAGAGCTGGAACTTCAGTCATTTCAAAATTGCACATCTTTTTAGCAGACTCATAAACAGCTATTATCTTATTTCTTAAACATTTCGCTGAAGTTTTAGAAGACCTTTATGACTTAAATTGGACTGATTTTTTTTGCAAAAATTGTAACTTGCGTTTTTCTGTGTAATCTGTTTTGGAAAATTTTTATAGTTTTTCAGTCATAGCACGATGCAATGTGATACAAGAACAAAGTTAGTAGCTAATGGGCGGGCGTTGTAGAATTGATCTTTTTATTCATATGACCTTCAAAAAAATGGCCCCTTCCGCAAAAAAATTAGCTTTTTAAAACTAATTTACAATTTAATCGGTTTTTAAGTGAAAAAGACCAATAAAAATGTGTGGTGTCTTACCCTTCTATTAACCAGCGATTTAATGCTTTAAATTGTCAGATGTAGATGATAAATTTAGTTGTAGATCTAAAAGTCCATAATTACGTCGCATCGAAAAATTGTACAAACTAAAAACAAAACTGCGGTTAATTTACTTTTGGACAGCAAAGCGTCAAAAAAAACTTCTCCTTTCATCACGTTGAATCTGGCCAGTTTTAGTTCAATCTTCAACGAACATTTTTTTGACCTATAAATTATTCAAAACATTTCTAAAAAATCTCCTTAAATGCTTAAATTTTTTAAAACTAAAAGTATAAGTGATGCGACGTTATAATTCTTATTTATGAATATCGCTCGAACCTAACGCAAACATTGTGAACATAAAAAACGATTTTTCTTTAAAGATTTGAAAATTAATGCCTTAGATGATAAAAATGCATAACTTATCTGTCAAAGTGACAAAAAGCAGTGTTTTTTTGTCAACAAATTTGTAATCTGAAGTTTTATCAACAGTTTTGTCTCATTCTGTTGTATTTTCTTACATATTTGAATATGAAAAATTTTAGGCTCTGAGCGTTGAGCAGGAAAATCAAAGGCATTAAAATGTAGTCGACTGCTGATCTATTTATATTTGGTTTAAATTTTCAAAGATTTGAATAGACAAGCAAATTGATCAGTTTTATGGTCTCGAGGCTGGATTTTAAAATAAACAAGACTGCTCGTATCAGAGCAAAGCCCTGAATTTTCCGACCGCCCATTAATTAGTCTCGAATAGTTTTTGGTAAATGAAACGTTGACAAACTATGAACTTTAGGCTGATAACACCTAAGTGTTAAACTTTGATTCGTTTATGAAATTAATAAGACCAAATAGCTTGCCTCAATTCAGTTCTTACGTTTATGAGTGCGTATAAAATGCCGCGCATAAATATTTCGCCTATTGAAACAAATTTTCAAAGTATTCTTCCAGCGGCAGAGCCGCATTTAGTCTAGCGCAAGCATACTCGCTTGGCAATCTGAAGAGTTTCAGATCGATGTCCATACGCAGTCCATTTTACTAAAATGGGTATGAATAAAAAAAACCATCACGGGCATATATATATATATATTCCTCACTTTTTTCGAAGATCGGAACAATAAACTTATCCTGTACAAGTCGCACAAAACATTATGACGATTATTTATGACAAGAAAGTGCCATTATGATAGCTTTGACTTAAGCAAATGTTTCTTGTCTCAACGTTTTTTGAATGCTTTATTGGAGGTAGTTTTGTAGTTTTTCAGAGATAGAAACCGCGGCTAAGCTTTCAGAATCCGCTGCTTTACTAACAGTCTCTACTTATACTTTCAAATTAAACTTCATAGTGACACTTAGCAAAAAAACTATTCAAACTAAATTAATCTGACGAGTCAAAAGCTGGCACTAGTTTTTCTTGATATTTAAAGATATTTTAGGAATTAATTTTTTTTTCAAATCAAGCTGAAAAGACTTGAAAACCTTTTAATTCTCGTAAATATATTTTTTGCTTGACTCTAATCAGGATTCTTGAAAAAGTTAGAAGGCAAGTGAAGCAATTCGAGTGTTTCGATGGGCGCCTTAGAGCAAAAAACGTCAGCAGTAAGACCGAAAAAAGAGAGTCAAATGTTTTTTGATACCTGTTTTTGCATTGAAAAACAAGCACTTGATCCTGGTTGTTTCTCGTATCTTAATCAGTGATAGTGACTTTGAGAGTGACTTCTATCGAATCTCTGAGAGTGGTCAAAACAACAAGCTTAGCTACTTTTTTAAAGCCAATATGGCGACACAAAAAAACTTAAATCTCCGCCCCTGCTTCACACAAATATCAGTATTGAAGTAGAAGTTTGATTAAAGTTATAAAAAACACCTTCTAAAGATTAATCGTTGGGGAAAACTTTCACTATTGGGGAGAAATGTAAAACATCTTAGAATGTGCTAATTAGGAGTTTGCTCAAAAGGAAAGTCTTAGGTCAAATAATTTGGTAAAGCTCTGTTGTTGTTCTAATAATTAAATTTTAACCGCAGACAAATTTATGGAAATCCATTTTCCCAGTTCTTGTCTTTTTGGAAAAATTGCACCAAGTTATCATCCGTTTTTTCAGACAAATTTGATTTTTTTGCGGTTTGGTTGTTGTTTTTTTTTCTCCAAATCACTTCAAATTTGTTTGCTTAAGTGAAAGTTTATTACGCTCTCCAATTACAAATGGTTAAATGGCGCTGAGAACGTCAGTGACTTCATATAGCTTTAAATCGCATTTAGTTTTGAGTTTCCAAAGTGACAATTAATTAACAATTGATCCAGTTTTCTCAAATTGTGTTACGAATAGGCGTTTTTTACGAATAGGCTCTTTCTTGATTTCATCGGCTTTTTTTGATTTCATCGGTCATGTTTTTTTTCTGAATTCAGGCCAAAAAGTTTTTAGCCTGAAGTGTCAACCTTTTATGTTCTTTTTGACATTTTTCACAGGAAACCTGCACCAATACACAGTACAATGTGTGCTTAACATCAACCTGTTCAATGAGAAGATCTTCGTGGTGCTCTGGTTCTGGTTCGTGTTTGTGGCCATCCTCACCTGCATCAACTTCATCATCTGGCTGACGAGGATTGTGTGGTGTCAAGACAGAGTCAATTACATCAAGAAACACCTGAAATTTCTACACAGGGTCGGCTGGGATGATCGAATCAGTGGTGAGTGAAATACAATTTTGAGCTATTTGAAATATTGATGAACATTTAATGATGATAAAAAATATAAACACCTAAAGAAACTTTAGCCTGAAAATTTAACAAGTTTTCATAAAACTATCTTAAAACAATTTACGAACATAATTGTTGGTGTTTACGGTTTTATTTAAAAAAATTTGCAAAAAATATAAAAGCACAAACGATTAGAAAATAAACTCATCTCGAGGCGTTTTCCATATAAATTATTTTACATTTTTTTTAGTCTAGTCAGCAAAATTTTGACATTTTTGTTAATTGATGGCAAGAAACCTGATATTTTTTTTATCATGTATTTTATTTATTATCAATATTTCACAATTATTATTTTGGTTATACAGCTTGTTATGATATTATTTATAAGGTGGCTCATCGGACATGGAGAGGAGATCTGTGAGGAAGTTCGTGAATGCCTACTTGAGATCAGACGGAGTGTTCTTGATTCGACTCATCTCCAGAAATACCAGCTCAATCATCACCTCCGAACTGGGTCAGACACTTCAGACACCTTTATCCATTTTGTTTTCATTTATCTTAACTCACAAGTAGCGGAACTACTTCAAGAAAGGGAGTGGTTGTTAAGTAGTTTAAGTTAAAGTATCATCAGTTTGTCATAGAACAAATCTGGACTAGAAAAACTTTAAATTGGTATTTTGATTTGATGACCGTTGACTATACTATTTGATGATATTCAAAATTTTGCATGCAAACTTGTTGTAAACATTTTAATTGTGGTCAGTCATTGTGACTATTTGTGGAACATTGAAAAAGAAAAAGAACAAGGTATTTGGGTGTTTTTTTTCTTCATTTTTTCAGGTACCACAAATAATCATCGGAAGGCGTCAAATGATATGTCATACCAAAAGCCTTGCACTCTTTATTCGATTGGCATTAAAAAGAGTCGAGAATTTACCTCAGTTTCGAGAAAAACCGGTTACATTTTTCTGAATATTAGTCTAATTTCGAGCAAGTCAGGCGAATCTAATTTCAAACCTTCGTTTAGAAAAATTGATCACTTCGACTAAAAAAACTTAATTTTTCTACCAATTTTTCATAAACTAGTTTTAGAAGCTTCATTTTGGCTGTTTGTGGCAACATAAGTTTTCTTAAAAATTAAGAATGTATTTTGCAAAAAAAAGAAAAATTTATTCGTTTTTTTTCTGGACAAAAATAATGTTCAATGAGCTCATTTCATAACTTTTTTGCGTTTGTTCCGCATCTCACCACGCACATGGAACGAAATTAATTTTAAAAAAACTAATAAACCTAGGTTTGATAAATATTTCAACATATTTTTGAAAAAAGAATGATATTTTAAAAAAATAAGTAAATAAATTGAGCTTTGTATGTTTTTTGAAAACTTTCTAGCATGCGGACCAAATAACTTTCTTAAAAAGACCAGATAACTTCTACATTTGAATTTGAAGAGATTTTAAGTCACGATAAATCAGCATTCAAAACAAGTTTTCATAAACTTCGCATTTTCAAACACCTATCATATTAGTAAAAACAATCATTGGGGTTTTTTAAATTAATTATCAGCTCAAGGCGTCGTGGTCCTTCCGAGGATAAAAAAAATGGAGTTAAAACTGTCTAGTTAGAAAATCAACAATTTGTTGAAAAAAAAACAAAAACAAAAAGTACAAATATTTTCCTACGAGTTTCAAGGTTGCTCCATAAACAACAAATGCTCAATATGAAAAAAAATATATCTGAAAAATATGAGAAGCTAAAATTTTTTCTTTGCGCCGTCTTGCCGCTAAAATGAAAAAATATATACAATGTTTGCAATTTCTCTAGTTTTTTTTAAAATAACACTGCGCTATTAAATAAGAACTATGAATATTCAAATAGCCACTTTGGTTTTGAGTTTTTATATAATCTGAAAGCTATTGATGTCCATTTTTAAAAAAAGATATTTTAATCGTGATTTTTATTTTTAAGTCTAAGATGGTTTGAATTTTGCTAATTTGGCCAATTTGAGACAGTTTAGGCGCAAAAGAGTTAACGCATAGCGTAGAATTAACACAGACAGAAAATTATTTTAAATGGAACGAGTCTGCTAATATCAGGGCATAGTAATGATCCGGCTGACCTATAACATCGATCAAAAATTTATTGATTAAAAAATGTTGTTTTTAATGTTTAAGAAAAAGAAAGTTAAAGTCTTAGTTCAATTTGGAATGGTGTAATCAGGGGCGGATCTAGGATTTTCTCGAGGGGGGGGGGCGGATTTTCGAAAAATTTTCCAAAATTTTGACGACCTTTTTTTTTTTTTAGGTCGACCAAATTGATTTTTCGAGCTCTCCCAAAGCACTGTTTTGCCCCTATTTTGGCAAAATTTTCTGCGCCGCAGGCAAATTTTTGAAAAAACAGTCAAAAAAGCCGTTTTTGGGCACTTTTTGAAAGATTTTGACAAAAAAATTGCGTTTTTTTTGGCGCGCGCTCCCCCTCAAAGTTGGTATATATTGGCGCCGAAGGCGCCTTTAGAAAAATTTTAGGGTCGGTCCGCCAAAAATGGATTTCTGAAAAAGTATCAAAGGGGGGACCCTTTGGGTCGGCAGGGGGTCGAATCCCTGAGGGGGGGGCGTCCGCCCCCCCCCCCCCCCCGCCCCCCCCCCTAAATCCGCCCCTGGGTGTAATTGTTCCGACTTTCGAAGAGAAAGGAATATTCATGCTCGGTGTGGTTTTTTTATTTAGTCAATTTTAGTTTTTGTCAGTAATAGTTTTCGACAAAATTTTTTTATCCCCATTGAAGATATTGCTTTGCCCTGATGTTGTTTACCTCTTATGCTTTAATACGAAGAAATATATTGCGCGTTAATTATCCCAATTTGAATTATAGCTGTCCAATTAGCTCCAATTCAAACAGTTGTCATTTTGTGGAAATGTTCGCACGTTAAACCTTTTAGATTTTCAACCCTGAGCATCAATATTTTTCAGACTGGAATAATATCGTCGATAACCGCTAGCTAAAAAAAAATCGAAAATTGTGTGGAAAAATAAGGCAGGCAATTTGGTCTTTTAAATGCATTATTAGATATTAAATACATCCCTTACCCCCACTTATTAAAATCCAGATAACAAATTATGCGCGAAGAGTTCCTTCCAAAATTTTACAAAGTTAAAAATTCATAAGTTTCGTCGACAATATTCAGGTGATCAAATTAATTTTGCGATATCTTTTGCGACATCAAATAGACCTTGTTTTACCATTAAATTGTGCTCTGTAGACAATTTTGTAAGAAAATGTTCTTGTTCTAAGAACGCCGTGTTCTCTCTCTCTCTCTCTCTCTCTCTCTCTCTCTCTGATCTCTATTTCTTTTCAAATTAAGTAAATATTTTGACGTGAATTAGCAAATAATTAAATGGTTGATCAGTCAAAAAAGGAGGCCGAAAATTCCGAGCCCAATAAGCATGCAAAATGTATTTCTTTCATACCAATCAGTTTTATTTCAGAATCGCAATTGTTAAAAATTCACCTGATCCTACTGTTTGAGTTCGAAGTCGTGCTAAAACAAATAGTAATTCATTTGAAAAAATTGCAATTATTTTTTGCATTTAAATCTGTTATCAAGCGCCAAAGTTTTGAGCGAAAAATGTACTCCCTTCTGTTAACACAACTTCAAATTTAAGCGCTTCCCCTTACTCCCTCCCCCTCCACTCAAAAAAATAAGATCAAGGGTTGGGGAAGGGTTGTGTGGGGGTGGATAGCTTTCCTCAAGCTGCCTTTAACAAAACTAGCAGCGCTTAACGCTTAAACTTGATCTCGAACAAACAGTAGCACAATTAAGAGTAATGGAAGACGGTTTCAGTTGGTTTCGGACTGTTTGATATGGTTAGTATTTCTCTCTGAGATCCAAAACAGGAGCACTTTCCACTTTTCTGTTCATATTTGGACCCAGAATTTTCCCTGCTCTTCCCAACGTGGCCATTGCAAAACTCCGTGCACGAGAACTGATTGTCGGTCCACAATATGAAGTTGAGGTTATTATGCTCTACTATATTATGATCCGTAAAGATGTAATCATTTTCTGACTGCTTCGATTCACAAAAATTGCCAAAAAAGATAAAGATATTGAGGTTGAGAAGTAGCCAATTATTCATATTTGCGCGATGATTAAACTTGTTTTATATTAATTGAATCTGACTACAGTTTTTATGTGTCCATTGTAATTTTTTTTCTAATTATGATAGTCATTACAGGTGGAAAATCAAATAAGAGAAAACTCGAAGCGAGATTTGCCGTATCTAATTTTTATTCCATCCATCGTTGTCAATGAATATTTAACAACTTGAATTATCGCGCAGATATTAAAAAATTGGCAGATTCTAAACCTCAACATTTTTTTTCTTTTTTTTTGAATTTCTTGCGATTCGAAAACTGTTCGGAATAAATTACATCTGTACGGATAACAATATATGAAAACTTGGCTGGTCTATAACTTCCTCCATTTTTCACAAAAGTTCATTGCTGGCTGATGTGCAATTTTGGCTTGTGAGTCTTATGATGAAAGAAAATGTTGTAGAGGGGTTGTAGAGGTTTCTTTGAAAAAAAAAGACTTTCTCTTCTAAGAGCAATTAATTTTATCTTACACTAATCGGTTCGGTATCTGTTTTTATCGTCAGTTAGTTATTTACAAATAGATTCCACTATTTTTTCTTTACAATATAATCGAATATAGTCTACAATATAGCCTACTTTCTTAACAATATAATCGAAACTTGTTGCCCTCAGACAGCAACATGGAAAATCATATCGATTGTGATCATTTGTTTTATCAAGTTTTAGATTAAATATAATCCAATTTAAATCAATTACAATGGATATTTTTCACTTTGCTTTTAGTTTGCGTCGTGGAAAGTTTTGCGTGAATATCTGCATTTATTAAATGATTAATACAAAAATTATGCAGAACGAGTGTACGGCCTAAACCATTTTTTTTGCATATTGCCCAACAACTCCATAAACGCACTCCATGAACCCCCAACATTTGTCTCTTCTTCTCTTACCCCGCCACCAGCCACCAGAACCGTAGTACAAGTCAAAAATGCCATTTTCGGAAAATTTTTGGTCAAGAATTTTTTTGGGATGTGATACCTGTCAAGTATAGTATTTTCATACAAAGTTACACGTAACAACTAAATGTCAATTTCACAATTATTATTTAAAAAAGTCACAAAAGCCATTTTTGGCCCTTTTTAGGAAATATTTAACTAAAAATTGCTCTGAAATCCTCCTCCTCTAAAAGAAAAGAAGTTTGTTGAAAGCAACATAAATTACTAACATCAATTGAGTAACAAACATCAAAGTTTCGCAGAAAAAAAATTGCATATTTAACAACAGAGAACCACATTTAGTTTAAAACGTGCAAAAGAATTTGTGTGCCTTGAAATTCGCATGTTCAAATGATAATGGATTTTTTTTGTCTTTATTTATGAATGTAAAAAAAATTGATTATAATTAATTTGCAGTGAATTTTATTGCATCTTTAAATATTAGCCGTATTATCCATTTTCAATTGATTATAATCGATTAATTTTCATTCATTTTTTTTCACGCTGACAATAAAACTCAAATTTAAAAGTTTTTTATTCATGGAACTCGAATGCGGAAGATCTTAGATTCCCTGAGCGGGAAGGAGACTTAGGAGAAGAATGAAACAAATTGTTTTCTGAATGATTTCAAGATGATATCAATTTTTGACTATGTAGACTTGAATATTTTCTCAAGCTTGAATTTTGCAAGAATTTTTGTTAAAAACAAATAAACGTAAACTGTTTAAGTAGACTTATTGAGTGCATAATTTATGATCATATTCATTTAAAGCTTTCTAAACTCAAGCAAATAAAAATATATTGCAGGCAAAATTTGTAATTAAAAGTTGTATAGTTTTTAGATGGTTTATTTCTCATATTAAAAAAAATGTAAATAATTTTTGAGCCAGAAAAAAGTCCACTATTTTGTTCGATGTTTTTAAAAGCAGACGCGTTTCTAGAACTTTCGTGCGGGGAGCAAATATTCAAAAAACAATTCACCTATCCCAAAGCGCCATGAAAAAACGATTTTTAAAAACTATCTGTGCCGTTATTGAGTTCTTTTTGGAACATTATAGCAAAAAAGTTTCGTTTTTTGGCGCGCTCCCCTTCGAATGTAGTATACCCTAGCGCGAAAGGCGCCTAAGCAAATTTTTAGAACTTATGAGCCGATTTTTGATGTCGTAAGATAATACCACAAAAAAACTATTTTAAGTTGTCAGGGTTCGATTCTCTCCCACTCTCCCTCGAATCTGGTCCTGCTTGAAAATTGTAAGCCGTACATCATCGGCGAGGCATCTGTGCCTCAAAAACATAAAATTTTGCAATTTTTTTTATAAAAAATGTGACTAAGTTTCGTATTCTGATCAAAACCACAGTGAATAAAATTCATGAACGTTTTCTGGAAGATTTCATTCCGTGGGAAAAATTTGCAAAATAAATTTTCCAAACATACAAAAACGACCATTTCCGATATACTAACTAGCTGAATACTTTTTGTATTGCCCACAAAACTTCTTTCTCTTTATTTTCTTAGTGTGGTACCCCAAAGAACTTAGTCGTTAAGTTGTGAAAGAATGTAGTGCAAATAGTGTATTTAACTAACTATATTTTCTCTTTTCAGTCCTGTGGCTGAGTTGTAGTTTTATAGCTTTTAACAAATTTATTGGACGTCCTAAATTTTGAAGTAGTTCTGACTTTCAGACCGAAAATTGCATTGAAATTGCATTCGAATTTTGAAAACTGAATTTGAACTGACAAAAGAGCAACGCAGAATCATTGCGCTTTTTCGGAGAATTTCATTTTTGCCTCATTTCCTATGACCTTGGTACACTGTGTGATATAATAGGTTTAAAGATATTTACATCACAATATACATCAATGTTACTGCCTTAGCAGTACCACAATCAGTAAAAAAAGGAAAACTATTTATTTACCCAAACCCTCATTGGACCGTCGAATATTAATTTTTCTAGAAAATTGGTAAATAAAGGAAATTTTGTCTGATAATCACGTTAGAATTAGTTACCATAAGCAAAGACTAGCTAAAAGGCCAGTTATGCTGTCTGTTTTAGTATCTCATCTCTATGATGATTTCATCACCCACCCCACCTTCAATTTCAACAACAGACCCCCACCAGTGCCAAGTGCACCCAAACCTATCCTAAACAAAGACCCCCTCAACGAACCCTCGTCACTAGAGGCCAAGGAGAGACTTCTGTTCACCCCTCCTTTGAACATTCCCCCTCCCACGTTCGAATCGGCGATGACAGTGGCAACACAACAACATCACACGCGGTCGGGAATCGAACTAGCAGGTTAATTATTAATTACCGAACTATTCATTGTCAAGGTTTTTGTTGGTTACTTGTACGTTGCCGAGCGTGTGTAGAAAATATTGCTTCAATTTTTTCAGAAAGTTTAAAAAACATTTTTGTCATAGGGAGGGTTTCAGTGTCTTCGATGTTAAAAAAGCTCGGACTAGTATTCAAAGAGAAAACTTTAGTCATTCCCTGACTAAATTGATCATCTTTTCGTTCATCGGAATAAAATCATTCAAACACCAGGGTAAATAATGACAGACCAGCTCCTAGAAATGTTCTAGAAAAAATAAACGTTAACACGATGCGCATGCTTTTCACGACTTTTAAGAAACTGTTAAGCCAGAAATGTTTGAAAGTGGCAGTTCAGTTTTTCATAAATTTATTCTATTACTTAGCAGTTAAGCATTTAATTTTAGTCCGACCAAATTTATTGTCTAAGCCTTCCCAAATCACTAAAAGCACGCTATTTTGACCAATTATTATGCGCCGCATACAGTTTGCTAATAAACAGCCCAAAAAAGTGTTTTTGAGTTTTTTTCTTAAAAATGCGTTTTTTGGCGAGCGCTCCCCCTTCAGACTTAGTATTCATTGGAACCGAAGTCCCCTTCAGAAAAACTTTAGGCTCAGTCAGCCAAAAATGGAGATCTTTAGTTCGGCCGCACCCCATTAAATGTGCTTCCGCGTGTTAAAATTTTTGTCGTTATTTTTTGACTTGATCGTTTTTACACAAAAAACTCAGGGTAATTGAAACAAAAAATAGCGTTTCTCAATTTCAGGAGATTATCCGCAACAGATGCAAATGGGACATTACATGAAGGAAAGCCGAGAAGTGTTGTCAGTGTACCCGAATGCAAGCCCCGCTAGGACCAACAGTCGCCAAAAACAGTCCGAACAATTTTGACTCGGAAGCCACTTTTAAACCTTTCTGATGACTTTTGTTGGTTTTCTTGATCTGCTTCAGCTAATTTTTAATTAATTTTAAAATTTCGAATTTGATTGTTTTTAATCCTGGAGCAAAAAGAAGGTTAAAAATTCGGAGGGTTTTATTCCATATTTAAAATAGAAAAAGTTCTTGATATGAGACATTATGTTCTTGATATTAAGATAGACCGTGAATTTGTGTTGATGAAGTTAATTTGCTGATTTAAGAAATCAATAGCAACGCGCTGAAATGACGAACTTTGCTCTTTTGTGCCGACTTTCGAAGAAAATGGCGGAGTTTATAGACTACGGGTGGTTTTTTTTCCAAACAAATTTCATTTTTAGTTAGTTTTTGACGTAGTTTTTTTTATATATTTTTTAAAATTTTACTGGTCCCTGTTATTGCGCAAAAAAACTGATTATTAGACAATGCACATGAGACTTCAAACTAATCAACTTGGATCAATTTAAATTTCACTTAGTTTATTTCAGTTCAAAAAATCAACTTTAATTGATTTTAAATCATTATAAATTCATTTTTGGCAACATTTTGATTTCACGTTCATACGGATTTTAATCAAAATAAAATCGATTTAAATCGGTTTCTTGCATTTTTAGCATTTTCGCTTTATGCAGATAATATTCAAATCGACTATCAAATAATACAGAAAATTGGAAATTTGATTTTACTGTATGCTTTTTAAGTGACTTTTCGGGTTGACTTGATATTTGAATTGAAAAAAATTACAAGTATAACTAATTTGTTAATTTTCTGCACCAAAAAAGACCGTTTCTAATTTGAGTTTTTTAGCACAGAGCAGAAGCTTTGCCATGCAAAAACTAGCCAGAAAAGGTCTAGAAAGCAGCTTTATAGAAGGAAATAAGAAAAAATATAAAGAAGCTTCGAAATAATAAAGTTTTCCAAAGTATGGGCTTCAAACCTGCAACCTCGAGAATTGGAGTCTTATGCCGAACGAACGCTTAACAACCGGTAAACACTAATAACAAATAAAACAGCTACATATGCTAACAAAATGCCAATGTTATGCAGCAAAAGTGGCATAAAACACAAATTGACACAATTTTGCAAGTAATAGTTTGGAATACAACAAACTGAAGACATCCACACTAATTTTGTGTGTAATAATTTTGAAAACATAAAGCCTTTTTATGAATATAAAATGCTTTTCAAAAATCTGCAGAAATATTTAAATAGAAAATTTCTGCAATCGATTGCTTATTATTGCTTTGCCGTTTGAAACAAATAGATTTTTTCGGCTCACTCAAGTTCGCTAAGGTAAAACATAGCCAATTGAAGATTGGAAAAGAGTAATGAACGCAAGTAAACACTTAAAAAAATCACAGACTTTGTTGAAGAAATCTCGTCTTTCGAATTTCAAAGAAACTTTCGAATTTCAAAGAATAAATTGGCGCCACTTGAGCTCTTTGATTTCCTAGAACGATTTATGCTTGGCGCTTTTTTGATAAATAACATTAACCCAAATTGAGAGAACTGGATCAACAAGTAAAGTTTTTATAAATTCCCCCTTTTGAAACTTAAAAAACGGTCACATTTTTCCTTGCAATTTCCCCGTTCGCATTTGGAGAGTGCTATTTACGTCACTTTCAGCAGATGGATTTCACTTCTACACAAAAAATGAGATAATAAGACAAAAAAATCTGAAGACCAGAGTAAGTGAGAAATGACTGCATTCATTGGCACTTAAAAATAACAATTTTGGCAACTACAAATTGCTAAGGAGCTATCAACAATTCTCAAAAAGCATCTCTAAGCTTATTGTTCCGACCATTTAAAAAATTGCTCTGATGGAGATTTCTCTCAAGCTCAAAATTTTGGTGAAGTTTGGAAACAAAAAACAATAATTCAGTTAATTAAATTTTGTTTGCGATTTTTATTAACTGCACTAAGTTGCGACATTCCATTTAAATAGATTTTTAAAAAAAAAAATCATTTTTTTCTCAACTGTTATATTTCATTTGAATTGGTTTAAGTATATACATAGGCTCCCGAAAATCATATTTTAAACACGATAAAATTTGCAAAACAAATTAAATTAGATCCCAAGTTTATCAGTGCGTGTATTACATGAAAAATAATTCAAATAGGTTGACGTATATCGAATTGTAGAAAAAACAAAAAAGGGGAACTGGAAATGATCAAACATTTGGATTGGAAAAATGTAGCAAAAATGTTGCTGAACCTTTAGACAGTTTATTTAACAGTATAAATATTAATTATTAATGTGTTTTTGGCTTCGGTTTCGTCATCTGTGCTTTCGCAATGTATATGTTTTAATTGAAATTCTGAGGTTCGTTGTTTTTTATTCCTGGTGGGTCAGGCGCTGCTTCTATTGTAGATTGTACTTGGTTGATTTATCGTTGATGTTTTGGTGTGTTCCTTTTATGATTTTGGTATTGTCTATTTGATTTCTATGAATTGTTCCTTTGTGGTGATAGGTAAAAAATTTTTGATGATATGTTTTGGTAGCTATTGTTTCTATTTGTATAATTATTGGAGTCTCTCGTGATCTGTAGTCATAATTTTTAATAACTTAATTAATGTTCGAGTAGTGTCTTGAACGATTGTTTGAAAAATTTTTGTTGCGGTTGTTTAAAAATTGCCTAGAACGGTCATTAAAACAATTTCGACTGCGGTTATTTGAATATGAACGATTTCTATTGTAGTTTAAGTAATTAATTCTGTTTTAATTTGACCTTGAATAACTATTCCTGTAATGACTATTGGGGCTATTAAACAGTTTAATTTTGTAAACACTTGAGATTCATTATTTCGCCACGTATCGGATTCGAACTTGAACCTCGAGATTTGGAGTCTCACGCCCTGCCGCTCGGCCACCGACAAACACTAGTCACGAATAAAGCAGCTACATATGCTAACAAATTGCCAACGCGATGCAGCAAAAGTGGCGTCAAATACAAATAGACACAACTTGGCATATAATAGTTTGGAATATAACAAGCTGAAGGCCTCCACGTTAAGTTTGCATTTGAAAAAATTGAAAACATAAAGCCAAATTATCAACAAATAAAGTATTTTCGAAATATTGTGAGATATATTGAGTTGAAAAATTTCTGAAAATGATTTTATTTTATTGTACCGTTGTTTGAAGCAAATAGCCTTTTCGGTTCATTTGATGAATGAAAAATGCATAAACTGTGTTAACTTTTTAGTATTCGAATGTCAAAACATGTTATCGAAAAGCTGGTACATTACTTGCAACTTGGGTTAGAAAAGAAAGAATAGTGGTTACCATTCAATTTTACTCGTAAATGGTAAATAAAGTCGAAATGACCTAACTAATCACTTTTTGTAAAACGCATGCTAACCGCAAGCGTAAAATAACTACTTTCGAATCATTTACCTCTCCGAAAAAACTTCCGTTCATTGATTTCAGTCGAAAAAAAATTTCGACCAGCCCTTTTTTAAATTTCGTAAGCTCCATATTGGCTAATCTGTTCATCAAAGAAAGATTATTAATGAAAACTTTTAAGCAAACTCAATTGTGGAAGCAACTTTATTAATTGTGGATTAAAATTATAGAATACAAATTCAACTCGAAAGATAGAATTCAAACAAAAGCTGATATGTGTTCGATTTATTTGTAAAACTCCATGAATATTCTGTCGTCTTTGGTAGATTCACTTAATTCTGAGATAGTGATTTTCTGCTTAATCGTCTGTGTGTTTGTTTGTTTTCTGCAGTTGGTTGGCTTTCATCTGTAAGTAGAAGTTTGGCTCATCGCTTCTTCTTCAAGGGTCACTAAAACACAGAGGTCGATTGTCTGAGATGCCTGTAGGCAGACTATTTGTTAGTCTAAGGGCACTCTCTGAGTTTTTCTCGTTAAGTGCTATTAATATAGAGCTTTTCAGTAATTCTTTTCAAACACTTCCTAACTCATAAACGACAACTAACTCTGTTTGATTTTGGAGACTGAGAATGTCTCGTGTGGTTTGGGGGTGTGTGAGTAGAGGTCTGTGAATGCCTGTGACTGTAGCAAGAACTGAATGGCCATCGACACTTCACTCGCCACTCTGTTCAAGTCGTCAGAGTCGAACTTGGGAACCAGAATCTTCTAGAACAAATCAACAGGCATATTAAACGATGTCTCATTGCATAAAATATTTTAAAAAGTTTTATTCCTGGTCCATTTTTCAGTTTAAATGATGGGGTGGAATTTAAGAACCTGAATAAGAACCAGAGTAATTAGGAAAGCAAGAGCTCCAAATCAAATATATCCCCCATAAATCAATTTGGTGAGCATATCAATCATTTGGTCAATGAATTCTCTTTCGCTCAATCATAATTCAGATTTTTGAAAATTGATATGATGCTTAAGATAAGCTGTTTAACATTTTTTTTCAGCAATTTTCAGTCAAAGTTTCACATGAAGAGTCAAATTTGGGAGCCAGATATTTATAGAACAATTAAACAGGCATACAAAATCACCTCCAGTATTACGTGTGCAAAAAATTTTGAATCTGGTTAGCTATTTCAAAATTTATGACTCCTTGGTACCTTCACCTCTCCACCCTCTCTCTTTCTCCACCCCCAACCCCCCCCCCCCCCCTTATTAAAACAGAATTGTGCAGAACAGAATTGTGCAATTAAGCATATACAAATTTTGTACCTTGCAACGAATTTGACCCAGTGTTGCAAAAGGGGGCCATAGTTGTGAACAAGATTCAAAACTTTACTTGTTTATGTTTCTGCGATACTCAGTTTAGTTATTACTATCAAATATGGGCACTGGATTTTTCGAAGACATGAAAAATTAGATGACGAAAATTTTTAAACCTAAAACCTGAAAAGCGTAAATTTTTTTTGCTTTCTTCTGTGACCAGACGTGACATCTGGAACCTATTTATTCTTACTTTTAGTAATTAGCAATTAATCTGACAAAATCTGCATTGGAATGATAAGAATAACTCATGTATGACTTCTCAGGCTAGTTTTGAAATGCTCCATCAAATGTATAGTATCATATTTAACTCTTAAGATGTACAACGGAGGCATGAAACACGCAACTATATCTGCACACGCTATGTTTAGAAAACATCAAGTCGATTGAATGAATGTGATCAATAAAGAGGACCTTACCCCGTTCGCTATTCTTGCCCTAAATTTGAGCTAAAAGCAAATATTTATTATTTGATTGTATAAAACATAGTCAACAGATAGCTAGAAAATTGCCAATCAGCTCAAAACCAAAACAAAATGATCAACAAATTTTTAACTCAGAGGCGCAACTGGGCTTTGCAAGCACAAGCGAGAACACGACAAAAAGCAGCTCTAGAGTTCTGAAAGTCCAAAAAGAAAAAGTAAAAATAAGACTCGAATTAGTAAAAATTCGGCGACGTCTCGGACTTGAACCTACTGCGCAGAAATCATGATTCTCACTCACTAACCACTCAGCCACCGACGATTACTCCATCACAAACACTAGCCACAAAAAAAAGCCGACAACAGATGCTAAAAAAAGAAGGTTCATTTTAAAACACTAGGTGCTCACTAGCGAAATAACATCAGCCGAAACCAAGCCAAGGAAAATTAACGCGACAAAATAAGCATAACATGAAACAAAAGAAATTGCTATTATGTTAATTCTGTTAATTCCGCTATTATGTATTATACAATTTTCATCAACAGAAAATACACTTAAGCATAACAGACGACAAAATAATTTGACATCTATTTTACCGCGAGGATAGGCAAAAGTTTGGACAGACACACTTAGCGCCTAACCTAATGGTGAACATTCTTATCTGTAGTTGCATTCATTAAAAAGGTAATCAAAATGATTTTCAAATCAAATTTTAAAAAAAATAGACAAACTTAATATAAATTAAACAAATTTCATCGAAATTTTGTTTGGCCAGCCCTCTCGGGCAAAAACAAGCGCCTATTAATTACTCTGAACTGGCATTTTTCGAACTCTTAAAACTTGACAAAAAACCAATAGGCAATTTGCCGTGAAACAACAGTTTGACTTAGAGCTCAAAACGTCAATATTTTCTCGACTTCACCCAAAAACCGTCAAAAAACAATATGTTTTAAGTCGAATAAAAAACCACCCCAATCTTAAATTTTCCGTTACTTTCGTCGAAAAGAGATTTATGATGGCACGAGACATTTCCATCGAAAACTATCATTTGAATACCAAGTTTCATCAAGTTTCAGTACTGAATCCTTAATTATTCCGAGTGTTCTGGGCGCAGACAAAAATTACCGAACTTTGTAGGCTAATAAAGGTTTCTTTCTCCACTTGAAGTGAACAATTGCCTCTGCTCAATCGATATTTCAGAACTGATAAAATTGGGCGATATTTTTTCTGTGACTACACTTTTCTTCTGTAACAATGATTATTTCCACTACGAGATCATTAGAATTGCAAACCGGACGTTTTGAAGCTTTTAAAACTCTTACTTCTGACCCTTACTTCTTTCGAATTCCAGTGATTATGTTCGGATAACCCACGAATTAAATCTTTGGTCTTGGGTCGATTTGATAAATTTGAAATTTGCATCACTTCATTCCAGCGGTGATGTTTGAAAGCATAAAATGGCATAAAATTAGGAATTAAAGCATTAAATTAGGAAATTTGCTTTATCACAAAAGCATCACCGCTGGAACGAAGTGCACTTGAATTTCTCCTGGATGCTTGCAAACATAATATTTATTAGAAATGTTTCTGGTTTTACAACTTACAGCATAGTCCGATTTCTCCGTTTCCTCTTTCGTCAGGGAGTGAACAAACTTCTGCGCCGTCAAATCTGAGGTTTGAAACGCGTGAAACCTTCCTCGGTTATCTTGCGCCAACTGCGACAAGAACGTATTGGCTACATTATCGCTGCAGTTGAACGAAATTGTGTGAATGGCAGGCGCAATTTTTGCTCTTTTCGAGGCTTTCAGTTCCATGTTTGAAGCGTTGTTTTCGCGTTCGAAACGCCATTTTGAAACTTCTTTCAGAACAAGAGAACAGCTTGAGTCTGGTTTTCCGTCTGTCAGAAGGTAGAGACCTTCGACTTCGGGATCTTTGTACGCTTCCTAAAAGTGGAAATGATTTGAACCGCAAAAAATTAATAAATAATGCAAATAAAATTTAAAAAAGTTTTTACAGGTTTTTACACGTTTTTTTTGCGAGGAAACGGGTTAATAAAAACAATTGGCATACAGAAAAAAAATTACACTGAAATACAGCTTATCTTTGAGAAAAGCTTAAAACATGATCTGAAAATTTAAAAAAAGGTACGCGGACGCCGTGAATAGAACCACGGGCTAGCCCAGTCAGGATACGTGATCTGCAGATTCAAAATTGAGCTTTCGAAAATGTGTTTTTTTTTGTGTACTAACTTTGAGTGCTTCCAAGGTGCATGTATTCCTAGCTGGTTTCAGTTTCGAAATCCAAATCACAGCATCATTACAATTCTGGTCCGTAGGCTCAACACACCCATAACTGTTCTCTGGGGAGCCCTGACTGTTGTTGTTTACTCTGTTGTTTGTTCTGTTGTTTGAAAATATGGATGCGTTTGAAACTGATTCCAGTTCCAGCTGGTCGTTCAGATTGTTTGGGTTGCTGGTTGGTTTCCAGCATTGAACGTAGTCGGAAAATGCGATCAAATTGAATCTAGAAAATTGGTTTTGGTAAAAAAATGCAGTACAGCTAAATTAGCTTCTCGCGAAATGTGTATTTCATGAGTAAAGCAAGTGTCAAGAAAACGACAAGGAGAAAATTTAATTAGAAGCAATAATTTTCTTGTCAAAACAAATGACTGGCTTCACTAAAACACAAAACTTTGTTTCGAGATCGCGTCGTCAAAAAATCTTGCTAGCATTACTGATTTAAAACAAATATGAAAAATTCGCGTGATTCCATTAAAAAATGCAATTAAGTTGAAGTAATCATTAGTTTTGATATTTTCAAAAAATATACATTTTGAAAATAAATTTAGCAGGTCGAGAGGTTCGATCCTGGTTCTTATGTTTTTCACTGTTGTTGTTACCTAATGTTGTTCTTCTGCAGCTGGTCCCAAATGAGAGACACCAGGTGTTGCTTGACAGTGTCCAGCTGCAGGGCCATAGATCCACTGCAGTCTATGAGTATGACCACTCGCTTTTCAACTATGGACCCAAAAACACGTCTGGATCCTGAAACAGACGGGAAAATCTATAGCTTTTAGGAAATTTTTCGGCCAACGTCTTAAATTTTTGAAATAATTTTGACCTTCAAGCTGAAACTTATTAGAAAATAGTTTTTTGAAGTTTCGTGTTTGCCTTTTCACCGGCCTTTTATCTGTCCTTTTATATCGAGAAATGCAGCTGAATGAAAATTGTTTTAAAGTTAAGAATGCAGCTTTAAAGTCAGAATGCAGCTGAATGAAAATTGTTTTAAAGTTAAGAGCTTGAAAATATATAGAAAAAATGACATCTGAAAAAGCGCAATCTTTTTGGTTTGCTCTTTTGACAGTTCAAATGCAATTTTGAAAATTCGGTTGTAAGTTCAACTCTATTTCGCTGTTTCAAGGTCAGAATTGTTTCAGAATTTTAAGACATTGTCCGATAAATCTGTTAAAAGATATATAAACCGACAAGATTATATACCAAAAATAACAAACTGACACAATTTTGCAAGTAGTAGTTTGGAATACAACAAACTGAAGGCATCCACACTAATTTGGTATGCAAAAAATTGGAAAGCATAGAGCCACATTATGTATAAATTATGCATTTCAAAAAAAATTGCGAGACTTATTTAACTAGAAAATTTCTGATATCGAGTTATTCGATGAATTTAAAAGTATCAACTGTGTTAACCTATTATTATTCCAATTTCAAAGCACAAGCTATCAAAAAGCCATAAGGGTGCTCCATAAGTGGCACCAATATTTGCGACTTAGGTGAGAAAAAAAGAAAAGTCGTAGTATAACACTAACGTTCACAAAAGTTTGCTTGGATAAAAACGGTGGTTTTTAGGTTTGTTGTTTTCGACACGCGTTTTAAAAGCTGAATGACTGAAAAACTTGGATCCCGGAATCAAAATGATCAGTTTTAGGCATATTAAATTCTTTCAGGCTCTTTGACCGAAAATGATATTGCCTACAAATTGGCAGATTACAAAATGATGCACCTTGTAGGAGCCACACAATCCTCTTGAGGTATCTCTTGAGTGCCTTCTCCAACTCCCCCTGGTAGTCCCGCAGTTCATTCAAGGTCAACTGCAGATGCTTCACAGCTCCTCCGATCTAAGACAAAAATTATTAATACAATGAAGTTTGTAAGCTGCTTACAAGTTCAAAAACAACCTATAATTTGGATATCAAGATCAAAATCATTTGAGTTTTTACTGAAACAGTTCTAGCTATAGAAAGTGTGAAAGGTGTAAAGCCACTTATAAAAATGAAGAAACAAAAAGAAAAATAAGGGGAAAATCTTTATAAAAAGAACTTATTATATAATTGAACAATAAGCACATGAACAAGATAAACACATGAACAGAACGATAAATACAAAACAAGAGGGTCCGAACGATTTCTCAAATCAATATAAACGCAATAGAGCTTTCTACTTCATTGCTCTTATAATAGAAACTGCTATAACTATCAAAATAACTATGAAAATCCTTTTTTTTGCAAAAACTTTTATAAAGAAAACAAACAAAAACACGAATAAAAAAGAAACGTTTTAACATGAGCTGTACAAAACATTGGAACCCTGGGGCCAAAGGCGTCTTTAGAAAAATTGACTAGATTATCAAACAATTGATGTTGAAAATTAGTACCAAATAGAGGGAACCTTTGGGTGGTCAGGGAAGGAATCTCTAAGAGTGGTGTCCACCCGTGTGGAACAAAAAATACATTAAACATCGAAAAGCATCAAAAATTTAAAAACACTAAAAATCAAAATAACATCGAAAACAGCTTTGAAAATTAATGTTCAAAAGAGTAACCTGTATGGATGGGAATATGCGACAGTAGATGGCCTCCACTGCCTTGCCCCCCAGTCCCATGCCGAGAGAGGGGGGCAGTCTCTCCTTGTCATGACTGCAGTCAGGTCCACTCACCAGTTTGTACAGGTCCAGACGCAGTTTGGCCAAGCCATACTTCTTCATCCACTGGAAGTAATTATTCGAAAGTTAAGAATTACAATCAAATCGAGAAAAAAATCAATTCAAAAACTAGGATGAATTTTGATACTTTTTCCATTCAAACATGAAATACAAGATCCTTGAGAGCGAGTTTTGGCAGCATCTTTGATGAACACTATTGAATTTATTTGAACAACAATTTTTAGCGTGGCATCGTATTTTGAACAATTTAGGCAGCATTTTCAGAGAACATTTATTTCATTAAAGTTGGGGATTGCGTGGCCGAGCATTTGATACGCATCAAATTTTAAATGCTAGACCCAAATCTATGATTTGCAAGCTGTGCGGAAAATTTTTCAAAAGAACCCTTTCGGATAAACAACCCATTTTCTCAAACTACAAAATTTTCCTGACAGCTATAACTACTTACAGCTTTGGAGGATAGATTTTCTTCCACATCCGGAATAATAACTCGTTTAATCTGCTTTCTCACTTTCGTCTTCTGGTCCAAAATAGTCGGATACTGGCCGTACACTTGTCCTTTATCCGGTTCTCCACCTCTGGAAAACTTCTCATCCGTATAAAAACTGGTTTTATTCGCACGGACTGAACTTGATCTTCGATTTTCATTCTGCGAAAACCTTTTGGCCCCAGCTGGGACCGAACCGGTATCCATATTAACTGAATGTGAAACAGATGCAGGTGGAATTATGCTGTCTCGCAGACCGTTTACTCCGGCGGCTGGTTTCCAGTTCGGTTTACCTCCGGCACTACGCGATGCCGGCTTGCCGTCGGATATTTGGGGTCGCGACGCTTGTTGTCGGGCGATACTGGATTTGGTCTCTTTCGGGGGTCCGAGTGCTTTTTTGGCCTTGGGTCCTTCAATGGGTTGCATTGGAACAACATCTAATTGGGGGTACTTCTTTCGAAGGGCATCTATCAGTATGACACTCTAGAACACACACACGATTACTGTTTAAAAAGAGGATAGTTTCGAATTTTAATTTATTCTATGATAAAAGACAGTCAGTCAATATAGATTGCTGAACTGAGATAAGAGGAATGAAAATTTCAGCATGTAACCAACCTGCCAATAATTGCTCATATTTTTTTCTTGAATAATTCTTTATGAAATAATTTTATTTATTTATTAAATTTCAAAACCGTGCAGCACTCTGTAGATCTTCTTGGACCGTTGAATCTTAATTTTTCATGCACAGCAAAAACTGTTTCATTTTTTGAATCCGTTGAATCTTTCCATGCTACCATACTTTGAACCTTCCCCCTTCTGACATACACGCACTACTACTATACAGCACAAAGGAATTTGTAAAACAGATCCCAACTTTTTCGGAGAAGTTGACAGCCTTGTCTATTTCATGAAACAGCAGCTTGGTGTCATCACTCTCAATCACCCCAGTCTCTCTGAACCAGTGGAACCTCCCCCCGGCAGCATGGGACAGGTCCCGCAAGTAGTCGGCAGTCTCTTTGATGTTGCTGTAGCGACCAGGCACTAGACCTGAACAGAAAAGGGGGAAACTGATGGCAAATACTAAGAAATTCAAATGTAACACTTTGAAAAACTGGGATAACTATATCAGTTGATAAAATTATAGACAAACTGTCTAAAATGCAACAAGTTTGTATTCAAAACAGGTTTCTAGACACTTAATGATGGGGCGTTTGGGCAATTTCTTAAGTCAATTTGACCACATCAATGGGCATTTGGACGATTCACCGGTAATGAAATGATTTTATTTATTAGGTTCACATTTAAGTGATGACCGGTTTAAATCTTAAGTTCTGTTGCCTTTTTGCTGCTGCTTTTCACCTATATTTGTCCAATTTGGATTGCTGTCTTTTTGTTATTGCGGTGTCTTTTCGCTGCTCCCTTAATTTTCGAAATGTGGTTGTCAAACTATTTTCTTAATCTTGTTTACCTTCGATGGTGTTATCGTCTATGTTGTAGAGGAGAGTGTGCACTTTCACTCCCAGAGACTGGTGCACCTCACTCACATATGAACAGCTCACTTGCTGTAAAACAAATGAACAAACTGATTATAAAATACATAGCTAGCTAACTGTGCAAATAGTTAAATATCAACGGTCATTAACGCGAAAAGGATGAAAATTTTTAAAAAACAAATAAGTAACTCAATTACTCAATGTCATCCAATCTTGACTGTAAAATAATCAAAAAAGCTGTAATTTCAAACCACGTTTTCTAAACAAATATAATTTTCTGTTTTTTTTTTACCGAAAACCGAATGGGTTTAGTATGATAACTCACTTAACTTCACATAAAGATTATTTGTGGTATTGATTCTGCGGAAAAAATACACGAAGCTTGAAGTTTTTTTCTCCTGGGTGGCTTGCACCAAAAATCGCGCAATTGGGTAGACGAGTTGAAAACGCAAGAAGAACCTTAGGCAGACAAAAAATTAAGCCTTGAAGAATATGAATTGGACACACTCGATCTATGTTTTCAATCTACAAATGATTGAGAACATATCCAACAGACAGTTTTCAGATTCTTAATGATCTCAAAACACAGACCAAAAAACTAGTCTCTTTGATGTTGCTGTCAGGGTTGGAAAAAGAACGTTTTTTATTAAAAAAATCAATTAAACTAGAGAAATGCAAGTTTGCCACATTTTTCAGCCTCCATTTGGTTTCTTGACTTTCCATAGGTCATTCCTATCGTTGAAAAACATCTTTCTAATCCAGCTGAGTTGGGAACAGCAGAAACGAGAGCCAGTGCAACATCAACCAACGCTGTTTCGAAATCTAGCCTTTTTCCCATTTTCCACCATAATATCGGTTTTAAACTTTTGAAATCTTAAAGATAACTTTCATCGAACGGTTCTTCTTGAGTCATGTACTTAGTGATCTCTCCCATGGCATTTTCGTCAATTGAGCGGATATAGGAGAGGGCTTTTTTGTGTCATAAGCTTCTAACTTTTTGCCCTCATACCTATGATCTAATAGATATGCGGCAAGAAAAACGGGAGTCAGATAATCATCTCTTCTTTTTGCTACAAAATGTTTAAGATGATCCGGTGCAGCATTGTAGAGATCGAGCCTACATCCGAAGCGGTCCCCCAGAACAAAAGGTTCACTCCGAGGTTCATGTCCGTGCTTTTTGCAATATTCTGAACGCATAGCGCAATGGATGTAAAATGCTTCTCATAATGAGCAATCAAGTCCTTTATGAAATTCCATGCGATCAAGTCATTGGTGGCTTTGGAATGCCGAGTTTATTCAGTTCAGCAAGTGCTAAATGCTTATTTCGCACAAATTTTGCTATATCTGTTACTTTGGTTGTCATCAATTTTGTTTCAATCTGACTTACAATGTCCTTTATTAACAAATGGACGGCATGAGGCTGACAACTATATGTATGAAGGTGTTTCTGCCAATTTTCTCATTCTCAAAATATTTGCCGCGTTATCAGTTACAAGACAAGATATGACAACTCCCCACTCTTCTTCGCATTTTACGATTTGCGCTTCACAAATTTCAGCAAGGTTTTCGGCAGTGTGAGGCGATCCCGTTGTATTTAATATATCCGCCAGATACGTACGATTGGCTGTTGAGAAAGACACTTCTATAATTGGGTTATTGGTGACATTCGACCATCCATCAAAAGACAAAGTTGCTGCAAAATTATTTCGCAACTTTATCTTTTTCAGTTTCGTAAATTTCGCCGAGAAGATAGCCAGCAACTTGTTTCCTTTCAGAACTCGATATGCCTGGGCGCAACAGTATAATCAGCTTCTTAAATTCTTCTTTTTCAACTGCTCAGAAGCGAGCGTTCATAGCTATAATAGCCCAGGTGATTTGAATTTCAGTTCGCTTTTGAACGGAAGGTGAAGTAGTTTGTTCCGAAATGACAGACAGCTTTAGTTTTGGTGGAATCGAAATAGCCTCGTCATCAATTTCGCCGTGTTGTCTTCTACCTTTGCATTTTCCAAATGATCTTTCATTCGTTGTACATGCGTACTGCATTGATGTTTGCAATTGGTACATTTTGCTTTTTCAGTTGAACCTGCTGTTTGAATAAGCTCGAACTTGTTGCATATTGCATCTCTTGTTCGACCCATTTGTTGATCTGAAAGATAAACGCACATTAAAACAGTGTAACAGAAGCGAGTAGTTAGTTTGTAAGTGAATGTATGTAATTGAATTAACGTCTGCTGTAAAGCAACTCTATTTCATTGTGTAAAAAGTAAAATTTAACTTTTAGGTGTAAAAACTCTTCAAATCATCGATATAGTTTAGACTTTGCCTCAGAAATACTAAGCAACATACGTATACGTCATATTATTCAATCAAACAACCACATCTTATTAAGCATTGTAGTTATTAAGCAATTGGGAAGGCAAGGCGACCCATACCACTATCGCAGGGGATCGACTCCCAGACAATGCTAGTTTTTTTACTTTAAGAGTTTAAAAAAACAAACACTGTTTTTTATTTTCTGTTTTCAAACGTGTTTTTTTGCCTGGTTTTAAAACATGTTTTAAGACATTCCTAACCCTGGTTGCCGTAGAGACTAGTTTCAAGACAATACACTGAATGAATAACAATAAATTGTACAAAACACTGGCTGAATACCCTGATTTGAAATTAAAATTCAAGCTAATTTCGTAAATAATTTATAACAACTTTAAATGAATTAACAATCAAGCCCCGAAATACAAATTTCATATATCAAACACTGTCTAACAACAGTCTTTAGAGAAACAGTATCCAAATAAGCAAAAATCTTTTTCGTTCATTAAAAATTATGCGCGCGATTAATGAAAGTTCAAAAACAATTATCAAGCGAAATAAAAAATCTTGTCAAGCAAAACTGTGAACTCTAAATTCGATTCTGAGATTTTTAACGTTTTGTGCGATCTTGAGGAAAGCATACAAATTATGGTTCCCTGGAATGACCCAAAATTATGTCAGTAAGCCGATAAAATATAAGCCGAAATCATTTTAAGCGAAGAAAAAACAAAAGGAAAACATACGAAATCAAGGGTAGTAGAATTGAAAATTTCAAAAGTAAATGAAAACATAGAAAACAACTACAATGAAAGCTGCACATGGTAAAAAATTCCAAGATGTGGCAACTAAGCCGACAAAACATAAGCAGACAAACAGTAAGCCGAGATTTTTTGATACGGAATATCTCCCATTTGAAAAAATTAGTTCATGGTCGGATTCGAACCGAGCACATTTTCCGTCCTGGGCGTATTCGTTACCTCCAGTCTAAGTGAACCGGACACGCTTTGAAAACTGAATTCACAATAAACCAAGATACCAAGTGATTTTGTTAAACAAGTCGTTAAACCGAAAAAAAGTCTATATTCCGATTTGATAACGCTTGCTAATCGAAAGCGTGAAAAAACTAACGAAGTATTTGTAAGTGTACGGTGTGTTTTCTCCGAGCAGTTTTTCAATGAAACTTTATAGCATCTTTCTAATACCTTTTAGCATTTCATAATGCTTGTTTTTCGATCTTGTCCACTTAAAACTTTACCGAATTTTTAAAATTCAAATTCAATTTTTCTGAACTGAAGACTAATGTGGAAAATATAAATAGCCGTAGGGGCGATTCGAAGTTTGACCCTGAAACAACCAGTCTTGTTAATTGTTTAAAAATACGCTCTAATTTTGCGCTATGTTAATACACGCTACTATAAAACTAAATGTTGAATGAAACTACACCGCAATATATCTTGACAAAAAGGGCCTCATTTCAACGTAAAGCTCAGCTTGTGAACTAAAATTAACAAATTTGAACGAGCCGGAACAAAATCTCAATTTTACACAGATCTGAGTTTTCAAATTCAACTTCACTTTCAAAGTAATTTATGAATTGTGGTTTGCGAATCAACGAGGAGCTATCAGTACAGCTTAGCAAGTTTATAGAAGAATAGTCGATTTTTGTGTAATTTTCATAGCTTCAAGAATTATTTTGTTGAGCCAAGCTCTTTTTTCGCGACTAGAACGCTCACGTGGTACCACTATTGCAGCCGAATGGGTTAGACCTGAAGCTAGAGGCCAAGTGAGAGATCATCTTTGTACACTATAATTGCCATGGCGATAGGAGCTAACTTTCGCGAATCTCAAGGGCGTAATTTAAAAAGAATCAGAAGTCAAATGCAAAATAGAAAAATAAAAACGTCAACATAATTTTATATTTTTTTTCTTGAAAAAAAAACTCAAAAACCGCAACCTAATCAAGTAACAATTCGCATCGTCAACAGTCACGTCCATTACATTAATTGTCCATAAATTAATAACAACACAATATATTACACAATATGATACCTTGAACTGGTCTGGGACTCCACTGGTGAACACGTAGAGGGCATCCACACTTTGACCTTCCTTTTTGTCAGCCTCATTCTCAAGAGCACTCCTAAAAACCATCATCACAACTTAAAAGGTTGTTCAGCTCAGTACAATTCAGTTGTTTATCATCGCTTTTTGGGATTCGAAGACGAATATGGTTCTTTGCGAAATTTAATACCTAAACAACTTTATTTGATTTTCAGTCAATGAGATATGGCAAATTTTTTTTCGTCGTTCGGGTCGGAAGCAACATGAACTTCAAAGTTCTGAAACTACTTTCATATTTTTTTACTGCTAATCTGGGAAAACCATATTTAAAACTTCGACGAGTAAACTTGAAGTTCAGAACTTTTCACATCATATAGCATGCGCGGTACCAAAAATATGTGTTTTCTGCGACAAAGGATCAAAACGAGTCAAAAATATTGTCAAAAGTCCAAATTAGAAAACAACAAATTCCACTCTCTCTCAGCCCATAAGTCATTATTCAGAAGTCCGCCGTAATCCGTACAAGTTGCATATGGATAAGTTAACAACCCTCAGTCAGCAAAACTAGCATAAATAGCCAGAGATTTAGCAGATGTTATATGCATAGAATGGAGCAGCTGCAGTCGATGGTTTTTTTTTACCTGTGGTTTCAATAATCCCTATCGAGGCAGTACAACAGGGCGGACAAAAATCGTTGGTCAACAGCGTCGAGAATTAACTTTCGGCACTGTTGAAAACGTTTTCAGTTTCGGAACTGTTGTACTTGTTGAACGTCCCCTTCTTATCAGAAGCAATAAAATACCTGAATGCGCCCAGAAGATTCCTGCTGCCCCCACAATCCAGCCCCAGAATCCACTTCCAGGCACTCTGCAGATTCCTCTCAGTGGGGGGCATCATGCGGGGCTTCCACATCTCTGTCTCGCTCCCATATCTGACAACACAGCACACAAGTTAGCCAAATATTTCAGCAAAAAAGTCAATTAAACATAAAAAAAATGGTTTAATAATAAAAAAAACAGTTTAACTGAAAATTTTGACTGTAGGCTGAATAAAAAATTTCACAAAAAAAATCAATTTAACGTAACAAAAATAATAATTTAATCAAAAAACTTCGCAATTATGCTGAAAAAAAGCTGCAAAAACAAAATTCCTGGGACAATTATTACTACCGTAAGAGGAGACGGAGATTTATCCTTTGGTCTCTTTAGACATCTGCATATTATCAGAACACATTGAAATTTAATTCGAATCGAATTGATTTAGCAATTCAAAGCACCTATATAGCAATCTTGGGGAGGGTTCTCATACTTGAAGGACCGAATGCTTGAAAAGTTTCAACTAATCAAAATCGCTAAGCGTTCCTATTGGCTAAATGCATTTCTCACAAAATCGAAGTCAATATTAACAGAAAATGTTTTAAATCAGCGGAAAATAATCAAAAATAAGGCAAATTGCGGGTTACAACGCAATACTAATCAGATAAACATCAAGATTTATGAGTTCAAGCTTATAAGAATTTTTCAGTCTTGAAAACTCATCTGCTTATTATCTAATCGGTCAGTATTAACACTAATGGCCAGGATTTATTTTTTTACTTTGAGATTTTTGCGATTTACTATGAGATTTTGAATACTCAATTCTGATTGGCTGAAAGTAAGCTAAAATTAATTTCAAGCATTCGGTCCTTCAAGCATGAGGGATGCCACCAGCTGCATATGAACTCGACGTGGAATAATGTTTCAAAGTGACTACAGTGCTGATTTAAATTAACCGGACAAAACGCGTTAAACTTCAAATTTAAAACCCGTTTTTCTCAAATTGGGTTGAGTTTAGGTGAAAACTTATGAAGACAGAACTTGCTTAAAATTTTAGCAGAATTAATATGGTGCAATTTGTTTTGCGAATTTCGGGCCCGAAAATTTACCCCCAAAATGGGTCATTTTGGCTTTTCTTAGTTAATCAAAAGATACGCCAAAAAATACCCAGTCGATCACAGACATAATTATATCAAAGTGAGCTCCTTACGTAGACCAACAAACTTTATGAAGGGTTTTTTCTCCAAAATATTGTATAAGTTAATTTATTTTTGTTTGATAGACAAAAAAGATCATTTTTACTATATAAAATGCCAACTTTTTATTTAAAAACAATTTTTAAAAAAGTTGCAATTTTTTTTGGAGAAAAAACCCTTCATAAAAATTGTTGGGCTACGTAAGGGGCTCATTATGTCTGTGATTGACCGGGTATTTTCGGCGTAATTTTTGATTAACTAAGAAAAGCCAAAATGACCCATTTTTGGGGTAAAATTTCGGGCCCGAAATTCGCAAAACGAATTACACCATATTAATTCTGCTAAAAATTTAAGCAAGTTCTGTCTTCATAAGTTTTCACCTAAACTCAACCCAATTTGAGAAAAACGGGTTTTAAATTTCAAGTTTAAAGCGTTTTGTCCGGTTAATTTAAATCAGCACTGTACTAAGCTAACATCTGTTGTACTCCATTCTTTGAATCGTCACGCATTCCAAGAATTGCGAATTGCAATTTTCAACCATTTGCTAATTTCGACTCATCTATGGCGATTGTAAGGCGACATTTCGTCAATTAGCATATGATTGAAGAGTATAAAGAAAGAAAGATTTTTTTTCCAACCAATTACTAAATAAAGTAATGATACTTGGGAACATTAAACAACGGGATTTTAGCATCCGTCTGCCGTGAAGTCATAAATTAAGTTGAAAGTAAACAAAGGTTTAAAAAGTCAAAAAACAAAACGTGTGTTTTTTCCAGAATAAATATCTCATTAATCCCGTAACCTTCAAAACAAGCAGAACAAGCAACACGGATTATCAGTTTATATTACGCTACAGCAGTAATGTAAAAACAAGAATCAAGAAGTACATATATATTTTTTTCTGAACGTATTTCAAAATCCCAAAAATTCAAAAAAAATCGTATAAAATGAGCTTCTGAGACTTCAGTTTGACTGTATCAGAATCAAAACGAATCAAAAACCTACGAGCATGTTTGCTATTAATGTTAAGACCGTTTGAAAATGGGGAGAAACTTTGTAATCGGGTGTTTGAAGATTTTTTTCTACTTTTATTTTTCATGCAAAATCAGGTACCACAAAAAATCGTCGGAATGGGTCGAGTAATATCAGTCGCAATTAGAACAACATAATTTTGAAAAAAAATTCCAGTGCTGAGACATTTTTTTTTCTAATTTTGAGCAAACCAAGACGACCGAGCAGGCTCAAAATAGCTTATTTATGCTTATATCAAGCCGCTAAAAATTAGTTTTAGTCGAGTAAAATTTTAAAAGTTAATTGATGGATTTTTTCAGCAAAAATTTGGGAATCACAAACTTCATAATTTCAAAAAACATTCTGCAAAAATTTTTAAAATTTTATTTTTTGAATTTCATAACGTTTTTTTGTTTTTCATTTTTCTACAAAAACTGTTGCTCAATTTGCCTACTTTACTATGACTGTTGAAGATGCCTAAGTTGTAGTTTTTCATTCCGATCCTTTCATCCTACCACACAGAAAAAATACTAATTTGAAAATACTTTTTTTGTATTTTTTAAGACTATGGTCGGAACATTCTGTTTTTTTTGTATTTTTTAAGACTATGGTCGGAACATTCTGTATTATAACATTCTGAAACATTACGAACTGAAGAAAACTACTGAAATTTTAGCAACATAAAATATAATAAAGCAATAGTTAGATGTAACTCTCAATTATATCCATTCTTGTTATAATTTAGGCAGGAGATGTATTTGATTTTGCTAAAAAAAGCGCATCTGACCACGAAGTTCCCTCTCACTTTCGGTTAAAGACAAAAGACTGCAGCATTATTTTTTACTGATTGTTGTTCCGACCATTTGAAAAATGGGGAGGAACTTTGTATTCGGGTGTTTGTTACTTTTTTTCTATGTAAAATCAGCTACCACAAATAATCATCGGAGAGAATTGAGTGATTTATCATTTTAAAGCCCTTTTAGTCATGATTCGAACGACATTTAAAATCTTCAAAAAAAATTCCCAGTGCCGAAAAAAACCGGTTTGACAATATTGATTTTTCGTCTAATTTCGAGTGAGCGAGCAGGCTTACAATAGTTTATTTTAACAGCTTAAAAGTACAATTGCTTAACTTAAGCGGTGAAAACTTAATTTTACGCGACTAAAGTTAGTTCTTTTTAGTATTTTAGCGCCTTTTTGGCAACAAAAGTTCGAAAAGACTGCAAAAACATATAAAAAAAACTTTGAACGTTTTTTTTTGTTTTTCCAGTCATTCTTCTACAAAAATTGTTTTCTAATTTGCGTATTTTACTATGACTGTCGAATGTGCCTAAGCTCTAGTTTTTCGTATCTCGTAATTATCCGGTGCAATTTTACCGGATATAGGATATCTCTGCTGAAATCAGAAACTTGCCGGATGACTGGATATCGATTCCGGATACCACTATCCGGTACAACTCTACTTTTCTGTAAATTTATTAAATGATTCAACTTACTTGATTATGTTGAATGCCACTTTGTTAGACATTTGCTCCTGCAACAGCTGTCTGAATGCATGCTGGATGTGAATGATGTAGTTCCTGTTCAACTCCGACACATCAATCAGGAAAATGACCCTGAAAAAAAAACAAAGATGAGCTGGAATAAATTAAAAGACGTTGGTTGCACAATTTAAGACAATTAACTGCGATTTTTTTAACCATTTTTAGAAAATTGTAGAAAAAGGAAATTGGCTTATTTTTTAACAACTTTTAGGTAGTCAACTTCCTTGCAAGAAAAGTGATAAGCCGGGTAGCTGGTGGGAGTTCGGTAGCAAAAAATGCATCATGTTTTAATCAAAACATTCCAACAACTGTGCTTGAAGACTCTGTTTGGCTTCTTTTCTCGTCAATTAGCCTACTGCTCTAGAGACTTAGGCGGTAGGAAGTCTTTCTTGTGTTTATGATAGACGATCCCTCATGGTCATTCGCACCAGCTTTACATGTAAAAAAGTAAAGTTGAGCTAGTAAACTAATCATTTCAAAAACTTGCCAAAACAAGCGCACTCAGAAATTAGGCAGGAGCATAATAAATTCTTCTTAATCAAGAGGCAACTGGTTAATTTTTAGGGTTTTGACTATGATTATTTTAAACGATTCTCCCTTGTTCAAAAGGAATATATGGAATTAAGCAAAATCTTCTCTTAAAAAATCCCGGGACCATGTTAAGCATACCACTGTTGAACAAAACCCTAACTTTCACTAAAAATAAATTGCTTAGAATAGCGGGTTAATTTGCATACTTAAACTGCTTATCATACAATTTTATAAATTGAATCTACGAAAAATCGCTTCTTATAAAAATGTGACAAGCAATTTTTCAATCATTGATTTTGGTTCAAAAAATTGATAAATCACAAGAATAAATTTAACAAAAGCAACATCAAACTATCGAGTAGTTGCACATTGATATCTATTTTTTAAATTGAAACTTGTATCTGCATTTTGTATCTATTTTGTATCTTTCATTTTGTATCTAGTAGTTGCATTTGGTATCTATTTTTCAATTCTTCAAGAAAAAGGTGATCAAACAATTTCCAGGTACCGCGACAACTACCAAGAAAAAACAGCTCGCATCAAAAGACAACTCGCAAAAATTAAGGAGAGCGACAACTCGCAAGTTTTGAAGTTTATTGGAAACTTAATGTTCTCGTTTTAAGGTCGCCGGTGAGCGCGCTACACCACTTCGCAGCGATAATCGGCTCTAAAATTTGTAGAAAGTCCTACCCTCTGTTGGCAAGCTAGCAAGATGTTGGCGAGACTGCAGCGGTGATTAAATTGCGAGTTGTCTTTTACTGCGTGTTGTATTTTCTTGCGAGTTGTCTTTTATTGCGAGTTGTCTTTTCTTGCGAGTTGTCGCATTACGCAATTTCCACTAACGTAAATTGTATGATAGGCATTTTTTGCGTGATTCCAAAGTGTTAAATTCTGAATTTGAGTTAAAATTATTTAATTGTATTTTTTTAATCGCAAAATTATTGCTTTGCCCAAAAAACTAGTTTCCGGAAAATCATTTTGCATGCAAAATTTAAAATTTTTGTTTATAACGTGGAGCAAACACCAGTTTCATACCTAGGAAAAATGAGTTACTTAGAATAGCGGGTTGAATTCCAAACTAAAATTGCTTATGAAACAATTCTATACGTGGAATCTATGAAAAATGGTTATTATGAAACTATATAATATGCAAGTTTTCGATCATTAATTTTGGTTTAAAAAATTGATAAATCACACTATCAATTAGATAAAAAACAAAATCAAACAAGGATGGACTAGAACTTAAACAAATTTGACAGTCAGAGTAACATAGGCCACTTAAGCAACCGTTTCGAACAACAGATGACAAGAAAAACTTAAAAATACATATATATCTACAAAAAACTCACCGAAATTGTTAGGAAAAAGTTTCCTATTATATAGAAAATTGTTGCGTTTTTGAACTTTTTATTCCCAAGAGGCACCACAAAACTTAAAAGAAAGGACTTGACTAAAATAAAAATTTCGCAGCTTATCCTACCTGATCGCTCGCTCGAAATTGAACTGAAACTCAAAAACTGTTAACTAATTTTTCTAAACAGTACGAGAATTTTTTGAAACTTTTTAGATATCAATTGAATCAAGGCTGAAAGGACTGCAAAATGATATATCAATCCACTCAATCAGATGATTATTTATGGCAATTGACTTAAATGACCAAAAAAACAACAAAATAAGCCTGTTCGCTCACTTTATTCGCTCGAAAATACACCAAAAATCAATATATTCAAACAAGTTTTCCTCGTTTTCCCTTTTGGAAAATTTTAACTATCGTTCGAATCACGACTGAAAAGGCTTTAATATGATATATCATTGGATTCATTCCTATTATTATTTGGGCTGCCTGATTTAACGTAGAAAATTAAAAAAAAAACTGGAACACACACGAATTTAACGTTCCTCCCCATTTTCAGTGGTCGGAACAACTACCAGAGGATTTGCATTTTGAAAATACAACTATTTTTATTTTCAAAACTAGAAATAGTAAACTAAGCGTATATGTTACGTTGCATGGCGCGAAATATATAACTTTGTACTTAATATGGCGTGTCGTGTGGGGGATGATAAAAAATTTTTTTTTTGAAAAATTCATCATGTTTTTAAATCAGACTTTGCTCCATAGACTTTATAAGGCAGTCGGAAATCACATTATGAATAAGCTGATCATACTAATTCTATTTAGGAAAATTATATGACAAGCACTTTTTACGTGATGCCAAAAAGTGTCAAACTCCTATACTAAATTATGCATTAAACGGCCCAAAATCAATAACTTTATATTTTGAGCAGATATGTATGCGGACGAATCTGGTTAGCTAAATTCAGTCAATCACACTCGAGTAGCACCGCCAATAAATTAGCCAGGCTATATTTGCGGTCATTTCGGCTTATATTTTTATTTAATTGAATTGCTGCACCACGTTATTTGAATTTGTTTTGCTATTTAGCGAATTAGATTCCAACGCCACGATTTCAGTTCAAGTCAAGAATGTAGAAATCGAAACTTTGGGTCGCGGGCCATGTATTAAATTGAGTTTGAGTCTGTTTCAGTCGCAAAATATTTCTTTACTCAAACAATTTTTTTCCGGAAAAAAAATTTTTGCATGCAAATAACAGGCTGCTTTTGCAATACGCACACAGTTTCGCGACCACTGAGCGACTGAGGTTAACACATAAGCTGAACAGAACTCGGAAGCTGTTTGTCAGAACTGTTACGTTGCTAGGCGCGAAATATATAACTTTGTACTTAATATGGCGTGTCGTGTGGGGGATGATAAAAAAGTTTTTTTTGAAAAATTCATCATGTTTTTAAATCAGACTTTGCTCCATAGACTTTAAAAGGCAGTCGGAAATCACATTATGAATTTTAAAAAAGCAACGTCAACTTAGTTTCGTTACAATTACGTTACGATCCCTCGTGGTCATTCGCATCAGATTTGCATGTAAAAAAAAGTTAAGTTGAGCTAGTAAATTATTCATTTCAAAAACTTCCAAAACAAGCGCACTCAGAAATTTAGTAGGAGCACATTAAATTCTTCTTAATCAAGAGGCAACTGGTTATTTTTTAGGGATTTGACTATGATTTTTTTAAACGATTCTCCCTTGTTCAAAAGGAATATATGGAATTAAGCAAAATCTTCTCATAAAAAAAATCTCGGGACCATGTTAAGCATACCACTGTTGAACAAAACCCTAACTTTCACTGAAAATAAATTGCTTAGAATAGCAAGTTAATCTGCATACTTATATTTCTTATCATACAATTTTATAAATTGAATCTACGGAAAAACGCTTCTTAAAAAAATATAACAAGCAATTTTTCAATCAGTGATTTTGGGTCAAAAATTGATAAATCACATGAATAAATTTTTAAAAAGCAACATCAAACTATCGAGTATTTTTTTTTTTTTAAAAAACACCTAAATCTATTTTTTAATTTTTTAAGAAAAGGTGATCGAACAATTTCCATGTACCGCGACAATTCTCAAGAAAAAACAGCTCGCAACAATAGACAACTCGCAAAATTTAAGGAGAGCGACAACTCGCAAGTTTTGAAGTTTATTGGAAAAATAATGTTCTCGTTTTAAGGTCGCCGGTGGACGCGCTACACCACTTAGCGGCGATAATCGGCTCTAAATTTTGTATAAAGTCCTACCCTCTCTTGGGAAGCTCACAACATGTTGGCGCGACTGCGGCGTTGAGTAAATTGCGAGTTGTCTTTTCCTGCGAGTTGCCGCATTACGCAATCTCCACTAACGCAAATTGTATGATAGGCATTTTTTGCGTGGTTCCAAAGTGTTAAATTCTGAATTTGAATTAAAAATTTTTAAATTGTCTTTTTTAATCGGAAAATTATTGCTTTGCCCAAACAACCAGTTTCCGGAAAATTGTTTTGCATGCAAAATTTAAAATTTTAGTATATAGCAAACACCAGTTTCACACCTAGGAAAAATGAGCTACTTAGAATAGCGGGTTGACTTCCATACTAAAATTGCTTATGACACATTTCTATACGTGGAATCTATGACAAATGTTTATTATGAAAATACATAACATGGAAGTCTTCGATCATTAATTTTGGTTCAAAATATTGATAAATCACCTTGTCAATTAAATAAAAAAACAAACTCAAACAAGAATGGCCGATTGCTAGCAAATACCACAGAATTTTCCGACCATGTTCAAAAAATTATTAAAAAATTTTTTCTTTTTTTTCGAAAGTGTCGTTTTTTGAGCGCGGTGTGATGAAAAGTTCATAGTAGTACCCACCAGCGGAGCAGATTTAGGGGAAAGGGCGGGTGGGGGAAGCGGACTCCCACCCCCCATAGGAATTTGACCCCCTGCCGACCCAAAGGGTACCCCTTTGTACTATTTTGAGATATCGATTTTTGGTTACGAACCGTAAAATTTTTCTAAAAGCGCCTTTGGCGCCAATATATACTAATTTTGAGTGGGGAGCGCGCGCCGAAAGAACGCAATTTTTTGGTCAAAATTTTCCAAAAATTGCCTAAAAACGCTTTTTTGGCTTGTTCAAAATTTTGCCTGCGGCGCATAAAATTTAGTCAAAATGAGGTCTTTATAGTGATTTAGGAAAGCTCAGAAAATCAATTTGGTCGACCTAAAAAAAAAGTCGACAAAATTTCCGAAATTTTTTGAAAATCCCCCCCCAAAATGAAATTACAAGGTGCCGAAAATAAAATTATTGTTCAACACTTTTTCATTTTCGGCACTGTTGAACGCCCCCAAAACTTACTTGTTTTCCACAATTGTGCCGAAAATTCTCCGTGACGCTGTAGAAAGCCAGTCGATTCGCTTCTCAAATAGAACTACAACTGACCCGAGTCGCTGCTGGTAGTCGTAGAGCATCGTTGGATCCACGTGGACATTTTTGACAGATTTGTCGTGCCATTCAAATTGCACCATTTGGCTTTCATAGTTGGAGGATTTAATGTTTTTATTCAGCGCAGCTACAAATCCCTCCACATAATCGAATGCATTTGGAGCTAGTATTTGATATAAGCTCAATCTCTTAGCTGAAACAAATCAAAGCTGGCATTTAGAACTAATAAGTCTCTGTTAGTATAGTGGTGAGTATCCCAGACTGTCACTCTGGAGACCGGGGTTCGATTCCCCGACAGAGAGCATTTTTATTAGTCAACCTTTATTTCTTTTTTTGCTTTACTTGATTTAAATACAGTGCTGATTTAAATTATCCGGACGAAACGAACAAAACTTGAATTTTCAAACGCGTTTTTCTCAAATTGGGTTAAGATTAGACAAAAAGTGAAGAAGACAAAAGTTGCTTGGAATTTTACCAGAATTAATATGGTGCCATTTTTTCTCCGAAATTCTCAACAAAAACTTTACCCCAAAAATGGGTCATTTTGACTTTTTTCAATTAATCAAGAATTACGCTGAAACTATTTTGTTAATTGATGGAGAATATATATCACTAGAAGCTTCCAACACAGCCCAACAAAGTTTTAGAAGGGTTAAATCTCCAAAAACCAGTATAAATGAAAACATTTTCACTTGATAGTCAATAAATGTGATTTTTACTATATAAAACCCAGAATCTCTGTTTAAAAATAAATTTTAAACAATTTGCGCAAAATTTTGGAGATTTAACCCTTCTAAAACTTTGTTGAGCTGCGCGAGACGCTTCCTGTGATATAACTTTCTCATCAATTAACAAAGTAGTTTCAGCGTAATTCTTGATTAATTGAAAAAAGCCAAAATGACCCATTTTTGGGGTAAAATTTTTGTTGAGAATTTCGGAGAAAAAATGGCACTATATTAATTCTTGTGAAATTCTATGCAACTTTTGTTCTCTTCACTTTTTGTCTTATCTTAACCCAATTTGAGAAAAACGAGTTTGAAAATTCAAGTTTTGTTCGTTTCGTCCGGATAATTTAAATCAGCACTGTAAAATATACAGGAATAATTTAAACAGATTGATATAAAAACTATATTTGAGTCCCTTGTACTTGAATCCCTGGGCCAGAACTCAAAAAGAGAGAGCCCATTTCACAATCCGTTATAACCACGAGAACTTAAATCTTCCAATTTCATCCAAGTTTTTATCGGCTTACTGGAAGAATTACCTTTCAATCCATTCTGAGCGAGCCAATCAGCGGTGGTCTTGGGGGAGAAAGAGGCCTCTTGGATGTGCAGTGGGCCGGTGTGGTTAGGTGGCCGAGGGAGAAATTGAGAGGCTGGCATTTTGGCCACTTCACTGTTGATCTAAATAAAGACATTTGAGAGAGGTTTGGGTTTGCATGGCTTCAGAAGCGTCGTTTGGCGACCAATTGATTGCAGTTCCCTAATTTACGAAATTCCAATGGCTTTTTGACTGGGTTAAATGATGAAGGGGTACTTACACGTTACACCCCATGTCGACGTGCTCGATTTATATTTCGACTTTCTCGACCAAAAATCGGAATGTTTCGACTTTCTCGACCAAAAATCGGAATGTTTCGACTTTCTTAACCAAAAATCGGAATGTTTCGACTTTCTCAACCAAAAATCGGAATGTTTCGACTTTCTCGACCAAAAATCGGAATGTTTCGACTTTCTCAACCAAATTTTGGAATAAACCATACAATCTCCCCCCTAAGTGACCTACTGTAGAATGCTCTCCCCGCCCCAAGCATGTATTAAATATGAAAATTGATTCTGTATAAAATATGCAATTCATGCAACCGATCGAGCAAATAAATTTGGTTCTTACATTTTTGCATGCGGGATTGCATTTGTATACTGTTAATTGCCTAGATTAATGTTTCAATTCATTTCTTTTCAGTAAAGCGGTTAATTTTGAATAAATCTAGGCTATTCTCAAAATTAGTTCATGAAAAATCCATATTTTCTTCCCCCTAAATCAATTTGCGGGAGAAATTGTACGTTTGATCCAAATTTTGGTGTTTCGACTTTCTCGACTCAACAAAAAATTGTTCGACACTTTGTTCGACTCAGTTCAGATATCCCGGGTTGTTTTTCAAAGACCAAAAATGCTACTCATACAATTCCATAAACTAAGTCGATGAAAAAATACTAATCATACAAATTTCATACTTTTTGCAAAAATGGTGCCATCGAGTTTTCGAAGAACTTTTATCGTATTTTGGCATAAAATTCGGTGTATCGTACTAAAAAAAAGGAAAACATGGAGATAGTATGACTAGTATTTTTTTTGATGGCGACATCAAGTAACTTTGAAATTGCCCCAAAATTTTTCAGCCGCAAATCGAATTTTGTACTCAAACAAACATTTAAAAAAAAAACAATTTTGCACGCAAAATTTAATTTTTTGTGTGCGTAATGTAGTCTTGGATTCACTAATATTGGATTTTTTTTCCTTTTTGCTTATTAACTTTTTGAAAAAACGCTAAAAACGCCTATTTTGTTTTGTACGGTATATTTCTGCATGCCTTGATCAATGTCTGATAACTTAAAAGTTCAAATTTTAAAAGTAATCATCGTTCAAAATGTTTGCCAAAAAAAAGTTTGATACTTTCGTTATATTAAGGCATTAATGTTATAACAGAATTTGGCAATGCATTTGTAATGCTGGACATGCAAATCTTTGGTTACTCTACTATGAGTAACCAAAGTATTGTCACTTATGTTTGGTTACGTACACAACCAAAAAATTTTGAGAAATTAAATTGTAAAAAAAATCAATATTTTTGGTTTATGGAAAAATGCTAGTCTTACAATTTCCATTTATGAAAAATCAGTCATCATAGATCTTTCATGCAATTTTCTGTACTTATGGAATTGCATGAAAAGTGTATGATTAGCATTTTCATATATATATATTAAAGCTATACGATTAGGATTTTTGGTCAACCCGGTATGTTTCGACTTTCTCGACCGACGTTTTTGAAAATTTTATTTGTTCGAGCCCGAATGGATATGTTTCAACCGTGCTCGACGTATGTTTTGTTTTTCTCGACAGAAATCGTGTATGTTTTGACTTTGTGATCACAGGTGAAATATCTTTTCAAATTTAAGCTCAGGACAACAAAACTTTTTGAATAATATTTAAAAAATTCCGTCAAAAATGGCTAGTTAAAAAGTCAAAATTTAACTAAAGAAAAAACCTCTCCGAGCACAAATATTCCGTTACTTTCGTTACGAAAGTCGGAACAATAGTTCAATCAATTGAGATAAACTTCAAGTAATTTACATTTTTCATTCAAATTGTCTTTGTCAAAATGTTGCTCCTTGCAATTTTCCCACATTTGAATTTCAATTTGAAAAGCTATTTAGACGTTTAAAAAAGCATTTAAAATTTGCATGGCGAGCAATTTAATTATTATTTACTTAATTCTTCAATTTATACGCGTTACATCACTCCAGCAACAATTAAACGTAAAATATTCATGAAAGAAAACTGTAAATTTGTCTGTGTGTGTTTGTGGGGGAAGGGGAGTGGAAGAGTTTAAAAGATCTTTTAAACTCTCCCACTCACCTTCCCCACACACGCAGAATGTTTTACGTGTAATTGTTGCTGGAGTGATGTAACGCGTAAAAAAAGAAAAACAGTTTTATTAATAATAATTGAATTGTTCAACATGCAAATTTTAAGCGCTTTTTTAAACGTCTAAATAGCTTTTCAAATTGAAATTCAAATGTTTGAAAGTTGAAATGATCCAGATTTTGACAAAGACAATTTAAATTAAAAATGTCAATTACTTGAAATTTATGTTAGTTGATTGAATTATTCTTCTCGGTCGAAAAAACTCCTCGTTCGAACTCGGTCGAAACGTTTTTCCTCGGTCGAACTTGGTCGAATTTTTTTCCTCTGTCGAACATAGTCGAAACATACCATTTTTTGGTCGAGTCGGTCGAAACATAAATCGCAAACCTCGACCCGGGGAGCCTTATTTGTATACATTGGATCGATTTTAATGACAAAATTCATAACGAATAATTGCTGAATTGTTCAGAATTGAAGTTTAACTGACCTCCTGTACGATGTTGATGAGGGCGTCTCCTATCATGCCCTGCCGCATCTGTTGGATTCTGCCCAACACTCCCTTGCCCTTCTCTAGTTCGGCCAACAGGGCCTTCATGTCTGTACTCGCATACGCCTGCTTCTACAACACGCACGCACATTTAGCAGGGCTGGTCAAAATATGTTTTTTTTAAAAAAAAACGTTTAAAACTGTTTTAAACGTTTTAAACAGTTTAAAACAGTTTAAAACATGTTTTTTTTGCAAGAATTTATTTTTTCAAGCAACGCATACAAAATGCTAGTTTCTCAGTTTTCTCTGAGGAAAGGCTGTTCCTGAGGTCCCCTTCCACATACCCCATTGTGCTGAACGCACGCTCAATGCCTGCAGAGCTCGGGGCTAAAGACATCAGTTTGAGTGACAAACGACTCAATTCGTCACTAATGACCCCCAACGCGGTCTGCGCGCGAATGAAGCTTTTAGCCTTGCAGTTGGGCGTTTTTACCTTGAACTGTTCAGATTCTGCAGCAACGAAAGGGATATTGCACGCGTAAAAGAACTTCGCAACAGCTTTGTCAAAAGACGCTTTTTGATTCGCTGATGTCGTAACAACAAAAGTGTCCATAACCGGCTGTTTCGGAAGCCTGACCCCCGCGTTTGTCGAAGTTTGCCCGTTTTCATGAGACGCATAATCTTTTTTCATCCTGTCGACTAACGGCACCATCTCAGTTGTAAGTTGAAAATTAATGGTTTTGATAAGTAATCTCTGATTAAAAGCTGTATAATGTCAGCAAAACTTGCATGGCAAATGCGCACTTGATAGCTTGTTGAAAGAACTGCACTGTACGTGTTAATTTGGATGAATCAAGTAACAGCTGCCAGTTAAATTGCGTAATAATTGCGCCCTCGCAGTCGAAACATGAAACACTGTTTAAAACACTAAAATTGAGTCATGTTTTAAACAGTGTTTAAAACAGTTTTAAACACTGTTTAAAACAACCCCTGTTTTTTATTGACCAGCCCTGACATTTAGTAATTTAAAAAAGGAGAAACCTATTTGATAGGTGAAAAGTATTTCATTGGTTAAAAAGGAATGTACATCTCATAAGCAAAGTTGCACATGAATGTTTAGAAGAAATTTTTATTGAAGTTTAATTTTTAATCAAGTTCTGTACAGTAGTATTTACCATAATGTTCCAATCACAAGCCAATCTAGGATTTTCTTTATTTTGGTCAGAAAGATTTTTCGACGTGTTTTGGGTTAATTTTATCCAAAGCAAACTCAATTAACAAACTGAGCAATTTAGGTAGAAAAAAATCTTAGTTTACAAAGTTGGCTAAGATTTCTGAAAATCACTTCTGGGGAAAAAACTGTTTAGACATGATCTCTGTCTCAAGTTCAGTTCCAAAATTTATTGAGATTATTCTTCTTAATTTTTTTCTGTTCGAACTGCAAGTAGCTTTCTGTATTTTTGAAACTAACGGGATCCTCTGCATTGTGACAATGGAGTCTTCCATTGGCTATCTGAGCCATAGTTTCCATCCCAGTTATGGCCACAGTCGAAGAGCAGTTGTATGAGACTACTTGGAAGTTCACATTCTCCCCTCTGCCTACTAGCATCTGCTGCACGAACGAACACAGTTTGTCCACTGGTTGGTCGGCACTGAAAAGTAGTGAGTGGTTGGCTATTTTCAATTCGACAAATACTCGAATTAATTTATAAGGTAAATTATAAAGAGGAAGATAAAATGAAAAGATGACCAATCAACAATTCATTGCAATTCATAAACCAATTTTTTTGAATGCGGTTAGCTTGAAAGTTTTTTAATGTAAGCAAATGCAAGGACTGAATCAAAGCGAAATGAAATTATATATATGAAAAAAAAACACAACGAGCAGTGCAATTTATTCGGGGCTCGAACCCTAGCAACTAGCGTTGTAAACTAACCACGATCCCTGCACTAATAGCAGACTGTCAACACCAGGCACGGAAAGTGCAACATCCAGGGCCTTAAGAACATTGCAACCTCCGCCTGGTCTGATCTCTTCCAGGTACGCTTTGCACTCTTCGATTCTGAAATGAGAAAAATGGAAGTTCTCAGCAATAAAAATAAAAAAAGAAAGTTAAAAAAAACTACAAAATAAATCAGTTTTTATTGGTTTGTCAGTAGAGGGAGCAAATGAGGATCTCAGGCTTCCGATCCATAATAAAAATTCGAAGTTCAATTTTCTCTTTTGACTACTTTTTTAGATCAACCAGTTTGGTCGAGCGATTATAATTTTTTAAAACGCTTTCGAAGCCAAGAAAATTTGAATTATACACATCTTCACAACCAAAGCGGATATGAATGTAATAATCAACTTTTCATTTGAAAGTTTATTTCTCCAAAAATATTTCGAAAATATTTATAGGAAAAAACTACTCTTATTGTAATTACTTACGCCCTGTAGGTGACTTCTACTGGACTGTCGAATAAGACGTCCAGTTCTGACCCCATGCCAATCAGAAACACAGCCTGCTTGGAGGAGATCTGCTGGTCGAATAATGCTATCATGTCCTCCTGGGACAGAATAAACGAGATAAACCAAAATAAAAAAATCATAATACATCAAAGTTTCCTCTCAGAACCAGTACTCTTTACTCTTACCAATTGGGTTCGTTAACTGTCCCCTCACTGTTTCTGGTGCTTCATATTTAAATTCTCTTTATATGCAAATTTACCATTAACAGTGAGAAATAAATTCTTTCTTTCTTTCTTTCTTTCTTTCTTTCTTTAGGGCCGATTCGAGCAAGCAGGATAAATGTTTTACATCAAAAAATTACTTTACACGTTCATAATAAACCATATTCCTTCAACCTGGTTAAAAAAGTTAAAGGAAGTTTTGAGTGCTTGAACAGACAAATTTCGATAATTGAAAATTTCTGTGAATTTTAAAAAAGTATTGTAAGGGGCTAAGTCAGAATCTTGTTTATTACTAAGAAAGTTTCTCAAGTTTGATTTATTGCAAAAAATAAGCAATACACTGAAACAGATAACAGATTGAGATGAAGCTTGAAAATAAACAATAAAAAATTTGATGACATTTTCACCGACTAGATGACTCAAATCCTTAGCGTACCAGTTATCCAAACGCTCTTACTATAGTCAGCCTAACCTTTGCAATGCAACACTTCACTTCGCGTGCAAAATCAGAGAAAATATAGTCCTCAAGGCTCAAATTCACTTTTAAACACCGATAAAAATATCTGCGCAATATAACATTTCGCTTCTCTTGTTTAATTATTTCAATCCCCCTGTATCTTGAGTGAAGAAAAAGTACGAACGAGAGCTTTGTTTTTATCCACATGATCCCAAAAAGTACCTTGAGACTGGCGAGTCTCCCGAAGTTGAGGTTTGCGTCTGATGTGTCGATGAGGACTGCCACTCTCCTGCCCTGCACCACCCCGAACACCCTCCGACTAGCCTGCAGCAGCCACCTCACTCTGTTGTTGTACATGGCCAGGGTCCTAATTAACAAACCAAATATATTCATAGTTTTTTGATTGTATTTCAGTTTAAATTATAGGTTTTGTTACTAAGGATAACAAGGATAGTTGGTTCACACTCAATTTAAACTTTAGATTTTTTAAAGATATCAGGTGCTGTGCAAGTAGCACAGAATGTTCCGACCACGTTCATTCAAGTAATGCGAACTGCAATATACGCACTGTAATATATGTTTATACAATGCCACACTCCGAGTGCTGATGAACAACAAGAGTAAGTCATATCAACCAAAATAGCTGATTCTTTTTATTTTAAATGTTTTCCTTAAAAGAAGTGTCAAGTTTTTCAACTACTTCGTTTTCAATTATTATTTTCACTCATTATTTTCTCTGCTTATTTAAACCTCAATTTTTGTTTTTGAAAGAAACTGCAGATTTTAGGAATACAGAATCTAATTTTGACTCACTCTTTGAGACGGCGTTCAAAAGCGTCCACCACTCTGGCCTGGAACTTGATGTACCTCGCAGGCCGACCAGGCTCAGTATCACCACTGCAACAAACAAGTCAGTACTACTTAGCTACACTCACAATCTAGTGAACATGACCTCTTCAAAAACAGATGACTTATCTCATTTCAATTTCGAAGACGATGCTGCTTTTAACTTCTATTTCTAGGTAATGAAATGGAAATTAAAAGAATGAATGTTCTTTTCGAATGATCATAATTTTATAAAGATTAGTATTTTTAGACTTATTGCAAACAACCGAGACAATTATCGTGGTAATAAATGAACAATTAACAGCTCAATTTAATTAAAATAAAAATTTTCCAACATGAGAAAACGTCATTAGAAGTCTCTGGGTTCGGATTTGAGTTTATTCAATTTGTAAAAAAAGCGGAGGGGGTATAATTTCACCTGACGATGCCCTTGTTGAGGAGTGTCTTGAAGTCCAGTCCAGACTGGTCTATCCCATGCACACTCAACCACTCTTCGGTGGAGGAGAACTCTGCCTGCGCCACCGGATCCGCCGTCGCCAGGCGCTGCAACACAGGAACGAAACATTTCAAATCAAACATAGGAACCAACTATTAAGATAAGGCAAATAATTCGCGAAGGAAAGACTAATGTACGAAGTGTTCAGCCCTTAACGGCGAATAACTGCTATGATTTTGATTGATACCTACAATCAATTGTTTTTAAAATTACTCGTAAGTACAGTAAATGATGTCTACCCTCAAAAAGTTACCACGGACCGCGAATTGTCATCCTTTTGACTGGGAGGCGGATACCTTAGCGATTTCGCCAACGCCCCAAACGTCAAAATAAACCATTTGAAAAATCAGCCAAGAATGCCAAACAATTCAATAGATGACTGAAACTTCAAACAGTTCATCAAAATAGGTTTCGTTATCTCCAGGCGCGGCGATAAAAGCTCATTAAAAAAATCAGCAAGCAAAAGATTGCATACGCATTGGCTAAGAAGCATCCAAGTTTTAGTCAAGAGAAAACGTCCCTTTAAATCAATTCAAGTCCTAACAAAAAAAACACCAAAAAATGCAGACACTTCTTTTCAAAAGTTCTCGGCCAAGCAGCGCGGTCCTCCGAAAAATGCTGAGCAGCTCGTATGTCGGTCAATTCCCTTGTGGATAAAAGATCTTTAAATTAATTTAAGGAGGAGATTGTTCAATGATCCTGTTGTTTACTTGCCATTAGGTCATGGGTGTGGTTTACTTTGGTCACATAAGTGGCAGGTGGAGGCGCTCCCATCTCAGTCCCTTGTTCCCACGCGTTCTCATGCTTCGCTAAGCCTCCTTCAGACTTCAATCTGCCACCAGATGACGTACCTTTGTTTCTTCTATGTTTAGGCGGTTTCTGATCTTCGATGCTTCGGCTGGTTGAACCGTTCAGGCTTTCGGCGTCAATTCTGAGAGCAAAAAAAAACTTCCGTGCAATAAACGCCATTTTTCTTGAATACAAACTAAATTCCTTGGAAAAAACTTAAATAAAAAACTCAAATACCAGAAGACTCATTTTTGAGACGACAAAATTGAATATTCGGAAAAAGTGTGCAACGAATAATTGATTAAGTGAGGATGAATATTCGGATACAATTCGTTTCTGTTTGACCAACATTTCAACTTCATTCATAATCAGACACACTAATAATTTAATAATCTATTTTTAACGTTGTTTTCATAAATTAGGGAGAAGGAAAAAATGGCCAAGATTAATATAGACAAATGAGTGGCGAAAGAACTATGTGCTAGGCTGAGTATTATTCACGGTCAATTTTGGTTAGATGAATTAAAGTAAAAGCGAACGCAGCAACCTCAATTGGAATTTAAATTCTACATCAAATACAATTTGAGTGATTTTTTTTACTTAACAGGAAAAAGCAGACCTTTTAGATTTAAAAAAAAGATCGAAACTGAATAAACACTAACTTTTCATCGCTCTTTGATAGAAGCGTATCATCTTCATCTGTCTTGTCTGTTTTGGGAGCTCTCTTCAACTCCTTCTTCTCGGCTGTCTGGGGTCTGAAAGAGACCGAACTCCGTCCTGACCTGATTGAAGTAGCCGAGCCAGGCCTCTGTTGTGTTTTGGGAACTGCTACATCTCGGGTGCCAGTTGAAATTCCAGAAAGGCTGAAAAAAATGAAATATTGCTTTAAAAATTCAGTCGGACAACAAACGATGAAAGTTTTTGACGAACTGAAGCCGCATTGGGTCTCGAAGTCGAGGGGGAGTGCGCTTCGAAAAAAAAACAATTTTTGGTCTGAACTTTACAAAAAAGGGTCTTTATAGTGTATTGGCAGTAATGGGAAAATCAGTTGGCTCGACCGAGAAAAAAGGTGGCAAAACGTTCAATTAAATTTTAGAAATTTTCCTCGAGAAAATCCTATTTCCGCTCCTGTCTCCCTTCCATTCCAGAAGGGATGAAGCAGTTAACAAGGTACAAAACTCGTTTGAGCTAGTCCTTTCTAGGGATGGATATTCTGTGACAGGTTTCATTCACTAAAAGAATTAAAAAAGACCGCTGTTGCTTGTTGCTTTGTAAGAGGATAAAAGCCAAGTGTCGTTTCTAGTTGGTGGCGTGTTTCAAGAAACATACGATAAGGTAAAAAAATTAGTGAATTAGGCATGATCGACATTTTTGTTTTCAAAAATGAATAGAAAACAAAAAAGAAAAAATACAAAAAAATAAAAAAATTTTGATTTTTTTTTCTGTTTTAGTACAATAATTTAATTTTTTTAGAACATATTTTAGAGCATTTTTTTTACCAAATAAGCGCTAAATGAAACATCCAAAGTTTTCTTCATTGTAAATCAAGCCATTTTTCACACAAGCTTTTCTCGACATTGGGACAAGTTTTTGGAAGTTTGTTAATGTCGTTCCAATCACGACTGGCGTTTAATGTCGTTCCAATCAAGCGGCTTTAAAATGATATATCACTCGACACATTCCGATGATTATTTGTAGTACTTGATTATGCCTAGAAAACAAAACACTTAAACACACCCGAATACAAAGTTCCTCCCCATTTTTAATGGTCAGAGCAAAAATTAAAACACTAACCGAGATTCACTTCGTTCCTCTGCGATAGAGCTGCGCCTACTCATTAGCAAACTGAAATATAAAGTGAGATTAAGGTTCATGATATTACTGAGCAAAAACGCTGTGTCAAGCAAAACTGCTCGTGTCTACGGCAAATAAACGCGGGAAAACGACAAAACGATTAGAAAAAAGAACCATGTTTGTTCATTTTTTTCTCTTTCTCAGCGCTTTTGCCCATCTTTTAATGAAAATGAGAAATATTTCTCCAACAAGGATTTTTTCCCCCACACAAACTTGATCGAAAAAAAATGTTTGAAAAAATGGTGACGTTGAAAATTTTGGTGAAATTGAGCAAATTTTGGTTGAAAAATAGATTCGTTCTTCACTTAACCACACTTAAAAATTACCAGAACAACACTTAAAAATTGAGTGTTGTTCTGGTGAAATTATTCGGAGAGATGAGATTTTTTTCAACAAAAAATTACTTGCAACAATTGGTTAGTTCGTATTGCCAAGCGTTTGACTGGAAGATTTTGGTTACATTATTAAATTACACAACGTACATTACAACATTTCTTTTCTCCATTTCGACTCAAAATCAATTTTTTGACAAAAGTTTTCTATGTACTCTTGAAACTTTCGATCTGTTCTTGTTACAAAACTCTAGAACCTTCCTTCATATTTTGGCACTTGATGTTGCTCTTATTAAATTTTTGTCGATCAAGAACTTGAGATTAAGCAAAAGCAGTCAAAACATTTAATTTTCACCTTTATATAAGCATTTTAAACATTTTTTTCGCACGCAAAATCATAACCACAAATAAGAGCCAAATGCGGCCAAGTCATGTCGATTGGAAAAACTAGCAGCAAACCGAGACAATTACAGTTTTTAAAATGTTTGAGCTTAAGTAGCAAAGCTTTTATTCTTTCTCTCCTACAAAAAAAAATAAACAGAAGTTCTTCAAAAGTCTCGACATGTATTCTCGACATGTATTGCTTTGCGCGTATTCTCGGCGGAAACATCAGATAGGCTTCTAAAGAAACAAGGAGAGCCACTTGCAGAGCACCTGGCACAGAATATTTCGACCAAAATAACTTTTCAAACTAAATCTAATATAGGTTAAAAAATTAAAAACATCGTGCAAATTTATTCAACTTTTTCAAACGTTTCTGTAAAACTTATCAAGTAAAGGACAAGCAATTTAGGAAGAATGAGACATAATAATAGCTAAAATATCGTTAAAATAAAGTTAAAAGTGCATTGGGCAGATCAGCCTCTCATCAACTTTCATTAAATATCATCCTAAAATGGTTTTAGTATGATATCAAGCATCGCTCATTATAATTTTTCCTTCAATGCCTGAAAGTTGTCAAAACCCAAAATCAGCCATTTTTATTTCCCATTCCTCGTTTTAAAATTTAAAATTAGGCAACTTATAAAGAAACGTCACAATTTACACGCAGGATGAAAGCAGTGACAATCAAAAATTCCTCCCCTCAGGATCGATTCCCTGAGGGGAGGGCGTCCGCCCCCCCCCCCCCCCCTAAGGGTGTTATAGGGTGTTTCATATGTCCACTATCTTAGAACTCCTTCAAAATTTGAAGAGAATTTCCTCTATCTTACAATTTTTACAAGTTCTAAGAACTACGCAAAAATAAAAAAACAAAAAAATGCCAAAAACACTTCTGAATGTGTTTCTACACCGTAGGAAGACACAGGTAAAAATCAATTTTAGTAAATTTTCATTTTTTCAAATTTAATCATTTCAGATTGTGGTTATAATGTATGCATGAAAAAAAAAATTCGAGAAACAAAAATTTCTTAGTTATTTACCTAGTAAGCGATTCGAAGTTTTTTTAGAGACAAAAAATCAACTTTGGCGAGTCATGTTATATAGCTTCGGACGTGTTGTATGTGGGATTAGATACATTTTGACAAAAATTGTAATAATCAGTTGAAAGCACCCCTGCAAAGTTAGTGGTTACTTCAGTTAACTCAATTGGGGAAACTTTTAACTTTGACCTATAAGTTTCTGTTATTGTACTCTGCGAAAGCGGAGAACGTTTATATTGGTACAAGAAAAATTTATGAAATATAAATGAAAAAATTTATGAAATATAAATGAAAAAATTTTTTTAAAATATTTTTAAAGGAAAAGTTCCACCTTACAAACTTTTTGTAAGAAAGGTCACTATCTGACAACTTTGCTTTAGAAAAACTCCCTATCTTGTAACATTCTTAGAGCCTAACTTTGTAAAAAGTAGTAAGTTTCTTATAACAAATTTCTGAAATAGCGGCTTTTGGTCATTCCGGGAAAACAAAATAATATTTATCTCAAGAAATTGTCCAGACAGAAGCCTGCTTCAAAAAGGGAAACAGTGGCGCTAAAATCCAATCCATTGCTTGGCACTAAACTTAACAAGCGAAGAAAACGTTTGTGAGGAAAAAAGAGAAATTTTGCTTAGTCAGGTAATCAGACGGAAATTGTTGTTCGGATTGTTCAGATTAGTGGTTAAAGTTGGTATGCAGAGACGACGAAGCATCAATTGAACGTGAATCATATGTCGCAACGTAATGGTGCAAAGTATATATGGTGCTATACAAATCCTATGTCGCAAGGTAATGGTGCAAAGTATTAATGGTGCTTTTTTCACCGCAGAACATAAAGAATAGATTTTAATTGTCAAAATTAATGTAGAAAAATTGTTTTTGACCATACAAATCATGCGTCGCAACATATATGGTTCTATGTAAGAAAAAAAAGTTTCCATAAAAAAGTTGTAATTGGAAATATAACAAACCAGTGTTCTCTAAACATTATACTATATACGACAAATTTTAAAATTATACGAAAAAAAAACATTTATACGATTATACCAGAAATCAGAATAATATGATAAATTATACCATTATACGGAACCGATAACTGGCGAATCATTTTTGTGAGACAAGGACTTTTCATTGAAAACTACAAGATAGGGTTTTGATCTCAAGTTATACGATTATACGCTTTTTGTACGAAAGCTAAAATATAAGATTATAAGTTTTACGACTTTATCGTTATACGTCGATACACTGTATAAAATTTGTTAAGGATAAGCCTATAGGAAATTCCATTCACTCTATCTAAAATATAACTAGCCGAGTTAACGAGTATCCTTAGGATGAAAAAATTTCAATGTCAAACTTTCACTTGAACTGTTGGAAAAAAAAACAAATTTACGAAGAAATAATGAAACACAATCTGCATTACTAGCCTCCTACTAGCGTGAAAATAAAACAATGTCTGAGTCAGGGGCGGATCAAAGATTTTCTCGAGGGGAGGGACGTATTTTCAAACAATTTTCGAAAATTTTGACCTTTTTTTAGGTCAATCAAATTGATTTTCCGAGCTCTCCTAAAGCACTATAAAGACCGTAAATAGGCCAAATTTTCTGCGCCGCAGGCATATTTTTGAAAAAACAGGTCAAAAAAGCCGCTTTTGGGCATTTTTCGGAAAGTTAGTATATATTGGCGCCCAAGGCGCCTTTAGAAAAATTTTAGGGTCAGTCGGCCAAAAATGGATTTCTTAAAAAGTACCAAAGGGGGACCCTTTGGGTCGGCAGGGGGTCGATTCTTTGAGGGGAGGGCGTCCACTCCCCCCTCCCTAAATCCGCCCCTGGTCTGTTTTCTTGGATATGCTCTTGCACAAAAAGCTTTTCGAAATGATATGACTTATTAGACTTCAGAAGGTTGCAAAAAGTACAAGACGTGTGCTTTCAACTCTCTCAAGTGCACAATGACATCAATTACTGATTCGCCGTCCTCCTTTGTGCAAGTTATAGGGTGTTTAACTAGTACTATTTCAATGGAAAAAGTTTTATGATCTGAATAAAATGATCTGGTGCAAAGAATAAAACAAAAATCTTTTTCCTTTTAATATAAAAAATAGATGCGCCTTTCACATTTCCTGTTAACTTAACTCCTGCAAACGGACCAAGTAAATGATCTGCTCCCCCCATCCGGAAAACGAATCAGATTTTTCACATAGGCCAAATTCGTTAAGCCGAAATCAGACTTTTAATATTTGCAAAAAAAAAAATGTTTTGTTTTGCTGGTCAAAAATTTACACAGAGGCAAAGCTGAGCTTCGCGCCACTTCCGATGCAACAACTAAGAGATTCAAACATTATGACGCTTAAGAAGCCGCAAACAAGACTTCAAGCGAAGAAAAAATTGAAAAAAGATCTAGAAAACCAAAAATTTTGCAAAATCAAAGAAGGAATTTTTTCATAATTAAATTCTCTTAATTTTTTTAAGAAGCCCTTGTAAGATTGATATTAAGCATTCAAAAGCTTGAAGCCAAAGTGTTATCGATCTTTAAAATAAAACCAAAATTTTTAGAAAACAAAATATTAGGTAGAAAAGCCGACAAAATTACAACCGACAGCTAATAAGCTTAAAATCAACCGAAATGTACTGCTTATATAGTGTCCACGAGTGCTTTATATGTAGTCTTAATTCGCGAACTAAACCGAAAGACTTTAAGTCGACCACCAAAAAGCAGAAAACTAGGAAAACAACACAAACATAGCACAACAAACTAGCAAACAGAAATTAAGAGGAAAGCCGCTAGCTTGAAAAAAAACTTCTTAAAAACGTGATAGTCTTAATCTACCAAAAAATCTGATTCTTTGAAAATCTGATGTGAAAAATCTGATTCTTTTTCCGGATGGGGGGAGCAGATCATTTACAGATCATTGTATCAATTTGTCTGGAATAAAAATCCAATTCAGAAAAAATATTAGGCCAAATAAGACAACTGAGAGATAAATTTGCATCAACAACCCAGAAATGTTAATTGCGAGAACAAACACGCATGCGTAAAAACTTTTCAAAAAAAAACAAAAAAAACTTCGCAACAAAATTAAAGCTCAAATAGTTCCACTGATGACCTTCAAAAATTAGAAAAATTTGAATCTTCAAAAATCAAAGAACGCCCGTGCTAGGGGAACTAAGCAGAAAAAAAAAGACTGACGATTGGCCAAAATAGCAGAAAACTTTGAGTTTAAATGAAAAAAGGTTCCAACTGGATTCGAATCACAAGACTTTGTCGTCTCCAGCATATGTAATATCTTATCTCTACGCCCGATGCGCTGGGTATAATTGATTGAATTTGATTTTTTACATTAAACGAACTGAAAAGCCGAAAATTGATTTTCACAAAAAAGATATATATTTTAAAAAATTTTTAAAAATGTTTACGCGCGTAGATTTAGATCTTTGAAAAAAGTCCACTTAGACATCAAATGTTATGAGCACAACATAAATTGCAGATTAAAAACATTAGGAAACTAAGTCTACATAAACCAATGGAGATAAAATATACTGGTTACCATTTGACCATTCTGTGAACAAAATTATTTACGGGAAAAAATCCAGTACCCGCGATAGCAATGCTTATAGCAAGGGTAAAAAGGACTATTGATTCTTTTTAATTTCAATTATGACCAAATAACAAATAATCTATGCCAAGCTGAAATTTTTGGCTGATTTTTCTGTCGACCAAATTGAACATTTTAATCAAAATTTAGTTTTATTATAAATTGTAAACTTTCAAGCAGAAGCGAAGCTGCGCTTCGCAAACACTAGCGATAACACGACATACAAGCAGCTTTATAGGAAGAAATAAGAAAAGAAAGAAATAAGCCTCCAGTTAGTATAACTTTGCTATGTATGGGCCTCGAACCTGCGACCGCGAGAATTTGAATCTAACACCCGGCAACAAACTCTTAACAACCCGCAAACACTACTCACAAGTAAAACAGCTACATATGCTAACAAACTGCCAATGCTATGCAGCAAAAGTAGCAAAGCAGCGCCAAATGTAAATCGACACAATTTTGCAAGTAATAGTTTGGAATATAACAAACTGACGGCATCCACACTAATTTTGCATGAAATAAATTCGAAAGCATAAAACCTTATTTTATATAAATTATGCATTTCATAAATTGTGAAATATATTGAGTTAGAAAATTTCTGAAATCGAGTTTTTGTTACTGTCATGTTGTTTGAAACAAATAGCTTTTTCGGTTCATTTAATGAATTTGAAATGTATCAACTGTGTTAACTTATTAGTATTCGAATGTCAAAGCACTTGCTATCAAAAAGCCTTAAAGGTGCCCCAAAAGTGGCACCAAAATTTGCGACTTAGGTAAGAAAAAAGAATAGTCGTAGTATCACACTAACGCTCACTAAAGTTCGCTAGTGTGAATAAAAGAATTGGCGTGAAATGAATATAGTTAATTCATTCAGTCTTTTTTGGAAGGGAGATTAATTACATGGACCCGCAAATATTTAGTCAGCATTGCTCAACGTTTTTGTTTTTTCTTATGTGAAAGTTTTCTGTCTGTCTCTGTCTCTCTCTCTCTCTCTCTCTCTCTCTCTCTCTCTCTCCGACAATCTATCTCCGAATCCGACCATTTATTAAAAAAGTTTTGCAAAACAGCTAGTAAAAATATTTTAGTCAAAAAAAGGAAAGAACTATCCCTGTTATCACTGTTTCCGATATATAACGACTATACAAAAACTCCATATTTATCTGATTAAATTCAAATGACTACTATTATGACTTCATTGTACGTTCATAAATACTATTAGAAGCCCTAGGAACAGCAACAAATAATACGATCGCCATTTTCGTTATTGCTGGTCTTTGAATCGCTTGATAAACGAATCTTGAACTTGCTCTTCTTTTTTCAAAGCATCTAACTCCTCGTCCAAGCGACTTTTCTGTTTCTTTTTTTCTTGAATCATGTCCAGTAACTGTTGGCGCTTCACTTCTCGTTCCTTTCCCATTGACTTCAATAAATTTTGCTGGCCAACTGCTTTGGTTTTTGTCGTCTCGATTTCATGGGCTAGTTTACTCACAGATGTTATCCATTCAGAAACAACTTCATTAAAATCTCCAAACTTTCCCAAAAATTCCTTGCACCCATCGCTCAAGGCGTGAGAATCTTTTTGAACTTCAGGATCAAGTGCTCGTAATTTATTGTTGTCATCGAAGTAAAGTCCGTATGCTTCCATTACTTCTATAAATGATCAACTTCACAAAAATGCCACAATATTTCATACAGATACGAGGAGGAGCTACAACAGTTCGATTTGCATTTAGGTTTTTTCTTTTTTAGAATTTATTTTCTTAATTGCATGATCGACGAAAAACCACCCAAGAAACCTTGGAGTCGCATAGATTCGGAACTTTTTTTTAACCCCCGGTCCTACTCAGTGCAGGACCAACCGTGGAGGAGGGGGATGTCATCTGTTTCGCCGTAGCCGGTCGCACCTTGAGGAGGCGGATGACACTATGACCCCTCAAACCTTGATGACTTTTTTCTTTTCTTAAGCTAAACTGTAAGTAACAAGGTCAAAAATTATTATGGTAAACTAAATTGTTTCACTAGTCTTTCATTATTTCACTCAGTCAAAAAAAACATTGGAATTTTACATATTAGAGAAAGGTAAAGTAAAACGTGAAAAAGTAAAGAGAATCAGATTAAAATGGGCCCTTCCGTCATGCGACGGTACGTGCACAGGTTGGATAGGGCCGTACCAACACTATATAAACACATCGGCACAATTTTATGAATAAATCATGTCGATTTTAATGCATCAAGAGAATTGTCAATTAAAATCTACCCTCCTCGTTTATAGCACAGATAGAATTGTCTATGTTGGATGTATTTTTAAGATTTTTGCACCCATTAAGGCAGAAGATTGCACTCCTCAGAAGTGCAAAACTTGTTTTTGCTCTTATAAAGTTTATTGTGTCCGAGTATGATTCGTTCCGTTTTTCGCTTAGTTTCTCTGCTAGTTTCTGGACGGTTTTTGTTGAGCCTGGTGCTGCTCCTCCGGTACACGCAAAAATTAGTGGAACGAAGCTGCTGTGTTAGCACATCCAGAATTCTTTGTTGGTATTTGAATGTTTTGACACTCTCATGATATTTGTAGGCGTCAGATATAGTTTTAGGGCAGGATTTAGCATGGGGGTTGAAAATTTTTACATCGAAAAAGGGGCTCTTTTTCCTTTTCCCCCCACCTCACATAAGCGTCAATTTTATGGTGTAACGAGGGGTTTTACAAGGTTAATTATGAAGACCAAAAATGTTTGTCATGGCCTAATTAGTTCGCATGCCAATTTTTGTAATATTCGGATAAAGTGAACAAAGTTTCACTTGTAAAATTTTGCAGGTGGGGGAAAAGGAAAAAGAGCCGAAAAAGGTTAGGCTGAATCGGCCTCCCCAGAGTCCACTTGCCTTGATGTCAAGTCGAGCGTCATCTTCAGTAGTGGTTGTTTTGTTGTGAAAGCTTTCGAATTCCAACAATTGAAGTTTCGGCTCTATTTCAACATCATGGCATACTTCGTCCAGGAGTGTCGCAAAGGTATTGCGAATTTCATTATGTCTTGGTGAGTGCATCCACCTTTGGGACAGTGTAGAGAGTGGGTCAGTACGAAGTATGCCATGGTTGGGAATCAAGCCAACCAGGCTGAGTAGCTTAACATTTACACAGAATAAACCGAAAAGTATGCGAGGGAGATTCTCGGTTTTTTTTTTAAATACCCTGAGTTCCTCGGTTTATTAACATAATTAATAAAAAAACGCTTTTAAACCCAGTACTGGAGGTAGCTGCGACTTGAAGCTCACAACCTAGCTGTTTAAAAAGACCGCCATCATCATCTTAACCTTTACTCTTTTTAAAATGTAATCAGGTCAAAAGTATCATAGTAACCGAGGTTTCAGTCAGGAGTCCTTTCATCGCATATTCCAGTAAAAATTCTCTGAATTTTCTAGATATGGAAGTGATAATGAAAAGAAAAGAGATGATGAGAGTTGATGTGATTAAACTTAAACTATATACGGCTACATTTCTTCAATACGGCTACCCCGCAGTTCCAGCGTTCTAACTAAAATCAGATAAATGTAGCCTGGTTTATTACCATGTAAAATTGGTGTATCAAGTCAATAAAAACGTTTCGCACATTTTGAGCATTGCAGAAGTCTACAAGCAAACTATTTATTGAATAGGCAGCCATGGTTAGCAAGAACAGTATCAGTAGATGTCTGATAGAGAAAATGGGGATTTCCCATTAAAGCCCCGCAACAAAATCTTACATCCCATCCACTGATTTTACGATTAAAATCATGGAACCTTAAAAAAAAATTTACAAATAGAAAAAAATTGAAATACAAGGACTTTTAAATCTTAAACCAGTCCAATTGAACTAAGTTTTAACGATACAATGTCAATTTGGATGGAAATTATGAGAGAAAATCAGCCAGCCATTCTTTCCTTCTCAAAAACATTATCTCTTGAAAAAAGAAAATACAATCGATTTATTGCGAATTTTATTGTAATAAAACATGCCTCAAATATGCATCATCTTTTGGAATTCGATTTTTTGTCTTTTTGGGAGGAAAAAGAAAAAATTCATTGTTGATGATTTTTGCCTTCTGATTTCTACATTTTGAAAGAAAAAAAACGACTGACGGAATCTCAGATACCATTTTTTCATGAAGTGCTGATTGAAACGGAGACAAAATTCAGAAATGCGCTAACAGCTAACAAATCGACGGAAGAAACAAAACAAATCCAAATAATATAAATCATCCCCCCCATTCTCGAAAAAAATTGTCAAGTCAGCTGAAAATCTGGCGCAGGCATATCGAACTTGTGCTTCCGATATACTGAAATAATTCCCCACAACAATGCAACAGAAGATGACAATCTCAAAAACAAAAACTGTGACAAAAGATCACCGCAAACTTCATGCACTGACAGTTATTGCTCCCCCCGAAGCAGAACAATTTATAACCAGCATCAAACGCGAAGAAATAATTCTACCCGAGTCGAGATTTTTCACCTAATTTGAAGCAAGATTTGAGCGGTTTGAGCGGTTTTTTTAGACAATTACGCTCAAAATCTTGCTTCAAAATGAGCGGTTTGAGAGGTTTTTGAACGGTTTATCTAAAAAAACCGCTCAAAAACCGCGCAAGATTTGAACGGTTTTGAGCGGTTTATCTAAAAAAACCGCTCAAAAACGGCGCAAGATTTAATAATAAAAAGTCGACCACAGAGGGATTCGAACCCGCAATCTTATGATTCGAAGTCAGACGCCTTATCCTTTAGTCTATGCGGACTTGCTGGAAGCTTAATATTCGCTGTATTTGTTCTACTGAATATGTTCAATGTTTTAGACATGCACAACAAATATACTGTCAGGATTATACTAAGTCAAGATATACTAAATAGAGAGAGAGGGGGCACGTGGTTGGGGGTTTCGTGGGGGGATGGTTAAACGTGAGGGGGTTACGTCGTGGGTTGGGGGGTACGTTGATGGGGGGGTACGTTGGGGGGGGGGGTACGTTGGTGGGGGGGTTTGTTGGATGTTGGATACGTTGAGGGGGTACGTTGGGGGGAGGGAGTACGTTTGCGGGGGGGGGGGTAAGTTGGGGCGGGGGGGGGGTGGGGAGTTTTGCAGAGAAGAGAAACGTTGAACCTGGGACCTCGACCCGGGAAGACCGCTCAAAAACCGCTCAAAAACCGCTCAAATCTTGCTTGAAAAACCGTTCAAAAATCACCGCAAGAAATGAGCGGTTTTTGAGCGGTTTTTTAAGCAAGATTTGAGCGGTTTGAGCGGTTTTTCCAAAAAAACCGCCCAAACCGCCCAAACCGCTCAAACCGCTCAAATCTTGCTGGAAAACCGCTCAAACCGCTCAAATCTTGAGCGGTTTTTGAGCGGGATCTCGACCCGGGTACTTAACAGGACGGTATTTTCAATGGGATGCTTTCCTAGGTCTCATAGACCCAAGAACGTTTGCTCTAAACTAGCCAAAATCAAATTGTCGAATTTGCCTTATGTATGCAACGATATCGAGGCGAAATTATAGCTATAATTATCGGAAAAGACATAATTCATAGCCTTATTTTCCAACGTGAGACCTGTATCGTAACTGAACCGGGTCAGTATTTTTATACAGGAAGATCAATTTTAGAAGTTAAAATACAAAACGAAGAACAAGAGAAAAAGCTGACGAACTGGTCTTACAAATCGAGAATGGATGGGTTTAAAATGTGTGAGGGTGTAGAAATCTCGTTTCACATACCTTCAATAGATGTATTTCAAAAGTGCGAGATATCCGGACGCCAAGAAAAAGGTCATTTTCTCGTGTCGAGTTGCGTGTTCTCATTGAAGAAACGTAACCCGTATCGATTTTAATTGAAAAGGACTTAAACACTTGTCATCTTATTTTATCATTATCACTTCCATATCTAGGAAATTCCAAGGATTTTGACGGGAATACGTGATGAAGTGACTCCTGACTGTAACCTCGGTTACTATGATACTTTTGACCTTCTGATTACCCATTTGGTGCAACATAGGAAACCAAAAAACCAACAATCCCAATAATCACTCCCCAAAAAAACCAAGCTTCAAAAAAGCCAGCGACGAGAAAAACGATGACGAAACAACAAGCGATAAGTATTGTAATGGCAGCGAAAATGTCGAGGGAAAGAAGGTCGAATCACCACCATCTAGAGTTTTTGTAAATAAATCTAGAACAAACAGTGCAGCAACTCCAATCGAAGAAAAACAAAAGGATGAGGCTCTCAACAATGTTGTTGTAGATTTTCTTACTCTGCTAAGAGAAAAAAGACAATTTAAATATCGAAAATAGCAAACGGAAATGTGCCTCTGACGGAAGAATGCGTACAAAAAGAGAGCGTGAAATTTCACCAACCTCTTGGTCAGTTTTAACACGGACGGAAGAAAGAGCCTAATACAAAATCTATAAATTACATTACGTAAAAGACATGGTTGGAGAGAAGTTTCAGCTTTTTTTTATGAGCGAAAAACCAGATTATTTTTCTTTAAACATTTTTAGCATAGAAAATTTAGCTAAATTACACTCACTTATCAAAAAATGTCAAGTGATAAAAAAATCGTCCAGTTTTCTTTTGTGCATTCAGGCAGCAAAATTATCAAATCTTACAAATATATATCTGAGTTTACTGGATAAATACAA